CTGTGGCCTCCCAGATCCCCAGATCTCAGTATTTCTGATTATTATCTTTGGGGCAACCTGAAGCAAAAAGTCTACAAAAATAATCCCCGCAGCATTGATAGTCTTCAAAATGAAATTACACGCGTAATTCATTCAATTACCGTCAACGAACTGCAGAGAGTGTCGCGTAATTTATTTGTGAGATGCGCGGCATGTTTGCAAGCAGAAGGAGGTCACTTTCAGCACCTGTTATAAACCACGGTAAGTTATCTTTTTACTGTATTCTTATAAATGTGTGCATGTAGAGCAACTGATGGACGGAGACTCAGCGACACCACTACACTCACGCTATCGGGGAACGGCACTGCAGTCGCGGGGAGGAGTTGCATCCGTTCTGCGGTGGTATGACTCACGGCAAATTGCAGCCGCGGCGCGCACTTGATTGTACGCACTGTAGAATCAGCATCAAGTGTCACAAAAAAATTCTCTTTATCTGATGAGACACTATTATGTGCATACATAAAGACAAAGGAACCAACATGGCACCATGAAATGGCACTCACACTCTGTTGGATAAGTGCGAAGTGTATGAGTTACATGTATACATGTAATTTGTACACAGCTGTATTTATACCGAATTACTAGGTGTTTTTAATTTTTCCATCGTCAGAACCCTTTAGAATCTAGCTATATTTATATATACATTCAGCAATACTTTGTATATATTTTCACATACATATTAGTGAATTTTCTGATCACAGTATTCCGGGACGTGACACCATGTGGTTTGGGAGATACATACCATATATTTATAAAGAACATATTGCCCGAATCTTCATTCTCCTATCCACTAAAGTTCACAGAGAAGAAAGAAGCAAAGTTCAATGAATGCTCTCCCTGCAGGAAGCCTACTGACCTGGAATAAGTGATGTGTTGTGGGACATTATTTGTGGAGGTGGACAGGAAACTGTTGTCTTGTTATTCAACAGTTCTCCTTCTTCCAAAGCATACTTTTTTTCCAAGAAGCGGAGGACAACATTCCGTACTGAACCCATCTCTGTCTCCAGCCGATCCAATGTATTCATGAGATTGGCACATCCACGACAAATGATATCATCTTCTGATATGACAACCATATACCTGTCACACAAGAATTGAGAATTCTATTATGTAGCACACTGATTAAAACACGTGAAAAATCACATGTTTTCAGAACTTGACAATGAATGGCTCATATCAGGAGAAAATACTTTGCAGTGAAAATAAACCTGTACCACAAAAAGCAATACTGCAGTTCTGTCTTATCATTTGTGGACATGTACTGAATCAGGATCTGATTTTTTGTATTTCCAATAGATATATACTTCAATATTTACACTACTGTGTAAACTACATGAATTTCAATTACATAACTACAAAAGCATCAACTTATCTCAGTGGTATCGTATTGTAGCATCCTGATGCACTTTTCACTTACATCGATCATTCACTGTCTTACGTGCAACATTATGTTCCACAAAACTTATCACCTTTACAAGTTTAGAAGTTTTCTGATGTTTTAAAATGCACTACATGTTTCGGCCAACATGACAGCTAGACATATTTTTAACACCTGATGATGGCTAGGTTGGCTGAAACATGAAGTGCATTTTAAAACATCAAAAAACTTTTAAACTTGTAAAGGGACCACCTCTGTGGTCTACTGGTCAGAGTTCCTAGCTACAGATCCAGAGGTCCCAGGCTCAATTCTGGTGCCACCAGATTCTCTGAGAAGTAGTGGGTCTGGAACAAGGTCCACTCAGCCTCGCGAGGATAACTGTGGAGCTACCTGAATGGAAAAGTAGCAGCTTCAGTCTAGAAAGCCGAGATTAATGGCCATGGAGATCCATTGTGCTGGCCAGGTGACACCCTATATCTGCTAAAGTTGGAACTACCTTCGCTGACAAGCAGCGGTCGCTCAATTGGTACAGTTCACTTGCAGACTAAAGCCACAAAGTTTTTGTTTTTTAACTTGTAAAGGTGATAGGTTATGTGGGATGTAGTGTTGCACATAAGATGGGGGATTATCTCACTGGTATATTCCATTACAAGGACAGACTTCCTTAGTTTCAAGCCCTAAAATATTTGGTGAGTGAGCTCCATTAATTCATATAAAGGGGTTTTGCTTAGCTTAGAGAGGCCAAAATCATAACCTCTATTTTGGAGATTTCCCATAATTACCTATGACATCAATGGTCCTAAGTCAGAAATTTTTATATTCTTGGTTACCATATTCCAGTGTTCCCCTATTATCTACCTTTCCAAATTAGCCACCTCTACACAGAAGTTATTCCTTAAAAGTGACAGTCACTCAGGCAGTCAAAAAATTCCTTACCCTTCATATAACTAAAAAACTCACTGAAATGTTCAAGAGACCACCAAGTCTGAAATTATTAGACACCACCCATCCCCTAGGATAGAGGACCATTCCTTGGCAGGCATCTGTGCCTGCTTTTTCCATAGAATATATCTGCTAAAAATTACTCAACAAACAAGGTACAGGAACAAAAATATTAGTGTAATATGGTTCACAGTGGAAATGTCTGCAACATGGACTTCCAACACAATAGCAAGAAAATGTAACTTTAAAGAGAGAGGAAGCGTATTTACCAGGCTGATGTCTGCAATGCAGTCAATCTTAAAAAAAGTGATAGTCAAGAAATTCTTTGAATTTCAGAGAACCCAAATATTTACTGCAGTATTCATAAGAGGCCACAAGATGAGGTTGCTAGCCATTGGCCAACCACGTTAACCCCGCCTGGTCTGCAACTGCAAATTCCATGTAATATTGCTCAAAGTACAGCCAGCAAAGGTAATTCATGCAATGGGAGCACAGGAATAAAAATATTTTGACACAAGTTCAGATTACAGTGGTCACTGCATGTGAGATGCCTGGAAATGTCTGCAACATGAACTCCCAACACAGTAATGAGAAAATGTACATTTGAAGGAACAGGAAGAATACCATATGCCTTAAACCGACCAACCCAACCAAACGAATAAAATCGTATAACGTAATTATTCCCCAAAGGAAATTGATTAAAATTCGCTGACCCACGTTTTTCCTACATAAACGGATATTCTCAGAGCAACAGTGTTTTACACACAACGGCCACCGTATTCTGAACTCTGGTGAATACTATACATTTGTTTCGCATACCTTTCTCCAACGAGCTGGCCTAGTTTTTCTATAAGCCGTATTTTGGTGCTCTGGGTGCGACATGTTGCTAGTGTATAGAATCTTCCAGCTACAGCAACATCACAGACAAAACACCGCAAATCTTCGCCGCTAACAACTGTAGCTGGGCTATCAATCACAGAAGTCATCTTACACTGTCATAACAATTAGTACCTATACAATTTAAAACTTTTATGGTTATTATTGCACATAAATAGAGTCGGCTTCGACCTCAGGGTACACTCACGACCTTCATGATCTTCATGATTTTAAAATATCTTGCCATACAACTCATCTGTGATAACGTTATTCTACCAGATTTTTAATTCTTAGGTAAACACTACACTCCAATATTTTTTAAAATTTTTGCCTACACTGAAAAAGCCAACGCTTCCAGATATGCACGTATATAACATTCATTTCGTATAACTACAATTTTCATTACACGACCAATTCATTGACTTCAACACCACCTTCTTGCGCCTGCTATCGTTTGCTACAAAGTTGAGCATTCATAAACAATGACCATAACCTTCATAAATTCATCGATGCTCATGCTCATGACCACTCACGACGCTCATGATCTCGCTCTCTGCGAGATTGAACTACTAAACGAGAATCGAGGGGGCGTTACATAGTGTGACAATTTAGAGACGATTGCGAATTTCACAGCTCATTTAGTTGACCGGCAGAGATTAGCTGATAAAATATTTGGGGAGTAAACATTTCGAATATTTTCAGAGACTTATACAGAGCGAGAACATTCAAAATACAAAAATGAAATCATTGCTTGCAACACAAGCATTTCATCATCTGAAAAGNCGGTGAATCACGCGATGTCCACGAGATGTCAGTACTCAACCTTGCTTCAGAAATGACGCGAGAGGCCAGGAAAATGTCTGTCGTGCATCAGGATAACAGGATACCGTAGGAGGTATTTGGCTGTTCTAATTGATTTTGGTTCACAAATTTTTCATACTCGCAGCAAGGAACCGGAACTGAAAATTAAGTCAAAATAGCGATGTTTTGCTTGCTCTTTCACAGAATATCGCCAATAAAACGAGGATGCAAAATATCAAGATCGAAAACATATGAAGCCTAAATAGAAATTACAAACTCAGTAATTACGATATACGCAGAAATTAACTTACAGTCTATTTATACTACCTATCGCTCACCGTCGTCGTATCTGAACACTCTGAAGACTCTGAAGCTCTGAACGCTCTGAACTGCGAAAGCAGGAGCTCTGAATTAATACACAATCATAGCGACGATAGCGACCATAGCGATGATAGCAACGGGCAGAGAGTTGGTGGTAAAACACGTAGCAACGCAGAGTTGCAGCCCAGAAACAGAACGGAAGAGAACTACGTTTTACTACATCCGAAAGATCAGAACTGATTATAAAACTGAGCCGAAGACTTGAAATCTGTTACTCCTGCAGTTCATGAAAGTAGAAACAATGGTGAGCTAGACGTAGAGTATGTTCATTCAAGTTGCGTGACTGTTATACTTGTTTGGCAAAAACGCCCAGTGATACGTTTAAATTCCAGTTTACACAGTTACCGTGCAGTATCCTTAGCTTATCACACTCGTATTTTGGTGACATTAAAAATATATTATGGTGCAATGTAGAATCCTTCATATTAATTAGTCTCATCTTCATAAGTGTCTCCACGGGTAAGGCCATTCATTTTGTTGTAACTCTTAATTTTTTTTTATTTCATTATATTTAGTTTTTCTGCCCGTGTGTAGGCTTACACTTGTATATGGTATTCGGATCCGCCCTCAACTCATGTCCATAGCAGTTGATTGTTTATTATCCAATACTTTCGATAGTATATTTTAATATTAAGCTTCCCTTTCGTATCTTCATTGTATTAGTACTAATGATCTTCACAGGTTCATCTCTGAGGTCTCTTCCCTCCTCCGTAATATGAAATACTATAGTGGTGGTAAAATCTGTGCCAAGAGTTTTGACAGATTTACATGTTTTTAGCAGGTAATTTCTCGAATTTGCCTTACTGCGCGTGCTCTTCACGGACGCTTGACTAATTGTACGGATTTTATTCATATTCGGCATTTAAGAGTTCATGTATCATAGGTCGATGCCCGGTGAATATGAAGGCCCCATCCCCCAAAATAGGGGTCCTTCCTATGGGCTACCAACTAAAAATCGCGATTTTCCCGAAAACGATTGTAACGACTTTTATCAAATTTCAGTACTTTGTGGATACCCTCCTCAGAAATAAAACAGTATTGGCAAGTTCTGGAAAATTACAGTACTGCATAATGAGGAGCTTCATAGCTTGTACTCTTCTCCAATGATCAAGTCAAGGAGGATGAGGTGGGCAGGGCATGTAGGATGAATGGGGCCAGAAGAGGAATGCATATGGGATATTGGTGGGAAAGCCAGAAGGAAAGAGACCACTGAGAAGACCAAGGTGTGTGGGTGGACAATGTTAACACTTTGCGGACCGGGCGCATGATATCAGGCTTTTCGCTTTTAAACGTGGCGGACCGGTCGCATGATATCAGGCTTTTAGGACACATTAGGTTGTAACACACTATACCTTCCTCTGGCGCCATGCAGCTGCAATGAATACTGTGTAATAAATCTTTGGAATGTATGCTAGATACTCAGTAACTTGACCTGGCTGGCTAGGGTCCCTACTCCAAAAGAAAGTAAACTTTTGCCCCTTCCAGCTGTTTATGTACCAGGCAGGAAGTTAGTAGAGGGGAATATGAAGGCAAAGCAATCTCTCTGACTTGTTTTCCGATGAGCTATCTGACGTGCCTTGTGAGGGAGTAGTGATTAGTGACTCACACAGTGGAAGTGACGGGTCAACAAAGAATTGTGGCCACAGATAATAAAAGTGAAAGTTGCCTTGTGGCTTATAAATTGTGATATTTTCAATTTTTTTTTTTCATTTACAAAAATCTAAACCCTGATTAAAAATTGAAATACAAAGCATTTCTGATGAAAGTGGTAAAGGCTTGAGCTAGAGACCAGATGGTGGTGGCAGAACCAGAGTCAGGCAGACTTAGTGCGACCTAGCCCATCAACTCCCACCCCACGCAGGCCTCATGTGGAGACCTCCAGGTGACTCTTGGGTGATATGCGGAAACATACCCTCGTGAAAATTATGAAGAGTGAACATTCAAAGGGGAAGCATCCTTCTAGGCAATGCCATGTTTGCACAGTTCACAAAAAAAGGACTATGACTGTCTACATTTGCAAGTGTGTAATGCCACTTCACAAAGGGGAATGTTTCCAGAAATATTACACTCTCAAGCACTTCTAGGAGCATTGGTAAGTATTCTCCAAAAATTTTAGTTCATAAAATTAATTAGGAGATTTTATATTAATTTTTAAACTGAACAGTGCACAAGTTAGGGTAGTAGGTATAAAAATGCTGGTCCCCAGGGTGATTTAAATATTTAAATTGCCGGTCCGCAAAGTGTTAAAATGGAAGACAAATAGGATGGATGGTATGGATTCGATTATCTGGCTCAGGATAGGGACCAGTGGAGGGCTCCTGTGTACATGGTAATGAACCTTTGGATTCTATAAAATGCTTGGAAGTTCTTGAGTAGTTACACAGTTGGCGGCTTCTCAGGAAGGGCTCAGCTCCATGACTGAGTGACCATAACCAGTTGTAGTTGCTGAGAGAAAATTTCACTAGGTGAAGGTTACAATTGTCTAGGATGTGATACCATATAGTCTGGTAGATGGTTAGCAGTGTTTTGAGGAAGCATGCTGCTGCCAGCATCTTCAGGATAGAAGATGGTACTGGCTCCACAAAGTAGCCTTACTCAGATTGGAGTCCAAATGTCAAGTCAGACATCCTTGTTTATACCTGCTGTTAAGGGTTGTAGGATAGGGCACTTCTAAAATGAAAGCTTGTTATTCAAAATTTGGGGTGTGGGCTGAAGGGTGAAAAACAATGAAAGTCACGTAGATACTATAGGGTTCTGACGATGGTGTATAACACACAGAGATACTGGATTTTTGGACTTTGTCCATCATTTTTCTTAGTTATTTAGAATCCGGACGATGGACAAAGTCCGAAAACCCAGTATCTCTGAATGAAAGTCACATTAGGAGCATAGGCATGCTAGGTTGTTCTCAACTTCATGATTTTTAAGAAGAGTTTTATAAAGGTGAATAAAGAAAATGAATTATCAATTTTTTTTCCTCTTTTATGTCGTCTGTATGACAATAGTATTGGTTGGATTAGTGTGGATCATTAATGCTATGAAGCACTTATTCAAGCAGGTGAGAAAGCATGAATTATCAGATTTCCGTATCAACAGTCACGTTAAATTAAGAAGCTTATGTCCTGTGAATATTTTTGCATAACTCAGTGTCAGTTCTGTTCAGCACCATAGTGAAGAAGTTCATATGAATAGAGATAGTGGGCATTCAGTTTTGTATATGCATAAGCTGCTGCTGAGAGCATTATTAAGCTGATGCCTCTTATAATTATAGTGTTTTCTTGGATTTGCTGTCAGATGTTGCAAACTTGGATAGCATTTTAGATGAGCACCATCTTGACTGCAGGCAATACAAAGGAAGATTTCAGAGCTGTTGAACATTATTCTGACAATCCCAGTGTCAACAGTAGAATCTGAACACTACATTAATACCCTCATATGAGTAGAAACCTACTTTAATAACTCCAAGTATTGTCATTGGCATTGGCAGTTATCAGTATCCATAAAGAAGGCATTGCTAAAATTTCTCAATTCAACCTAAAAGTGCAAAGGAACTGATTAGAGGAATACATGTAAGGTTTAGTCTTAAATTTTAATTATACCCTGTACACATGTTTAGGCCAGATTGAAGGTGAGGAACATTTATTGTAACCAAAAGAGTAAATAGGTATTTCATTTTGAAGGAGGTTAATGTATGTAATGGAAACTGACGTGAAATTCAGGCAAGGTAATGACAGTTTCTTATACATGCTTCAGCTTTAGCTCCCAGTCCCTTTGTACATTTTGTTCACGATTTGTCAGAGGGTATGGCTCTCCAGAAATATGACATAATGTGAAAAGGCCGTTTATATCGTAAGTGGTAAGATGATTATAAGTAATGACTGGAAAAAGTGTGGACGTGGTCATGACCAATTTTATATCAAGTAGATTCTAAAGGGTTCTGACAATGGTGGATGACACACAGAATTACTGGCGTTTTGGACTTTTTCCATCGTCCAGAATTCTAGGTAATAGAGAACACGACGTCCTGGTCCAGTGATTGAGATTGGCTCTTTCTAAGGGGCCAACTGATTAGGTGTCTTCCTTTCTCACCTGAAGATGGAAACAGAACCAGTTTTCGAAACGTCCTGTCCTCTAATACCTACAATTCTGGATTTTTTCGGTCATTTTATAGGTCATTTTTTAAATATTTTCAGGTCATCAAAATCCGGGCCCTGGAGATCAATTCCAACAGCTCGCATTATTGCTTACTTATTTGTTGCTGCGGGAACCCTGTGCTAATTTCATAGCAACACTTTGGTTTCACTATTCTGGCTTTCACGCGGGGATTTCCGAACTGTTGCATAATAAATGGTCATATTCGTCACATTATTATTCATATTGCAACCCTTTGACCGCCTGCATTCAATACAATAAATTGCCCCTCAATTTAGGATGCTTTTGAAATTTATGTCAGGACTTTACATTTCTTATATCCATCTCAAGAAATCACAAAAGAAGTCTTTGAACAGGATGCTTTGGCAAAAGTAAAGCCAATTGGATACTTATGACTGCCAACATACTTAAACTTCCACAGTTTTAAAGGATTATCATGATTGCATATTACACTTAGCATTACTGAGTTTTGGATTTTGTCCATCACCTAGCATTCTGAACAGAATGCGTCATTTTGAAAAATGCCTGCTTCCATTCTTAGGTGAAATATAGGGAGGTATACTTCAGTTGGGACTGTTAGAACGTTTATTAACATGTCCAGTGATTGAGTTACTCACTCTGACAGACACAACTGAGTAGATGAGGCCCTTACCTTTTTACCTGAGAAAAATGAGATCCAGTTTCTAGAACACTGTGTTATGTTTGGATCACTGGATGACACATAAGTCATAAGTCCAGGCTGTCCCTACATGTTAGCGTTCATCACTGTAAGTTTTTACCAAGTTCACTTTTACTGTATTTTTTATCCATCTTTTAAGAAAATTAATTTTCTCTTATAGAAATTTGTATTTCGAGGTCTGATGGCACCTGTTCTGACTCCATACGCAAATGATAGGTATGTAATTCATAAATACAATGAAATATTTATAATTAAGTTATTGTTTTCTTAGTCATCAAATTGGTCCTGTGTTTATGTACTATTAACCCATCTCGTGCATCTGGGACTCAGCTTCACTACTAACAGTAATGAGTTTCAGTGTGTTTATACTATTTGAGGTAACACTTCAATTTTCAGGTCTTTCAGCATACAGCTGGATATTATTCCAAAATATGCAAAGTATTTGTCAAGTGTAGGAATTAATGCAGTTTTGGGTGAGTTTCCTTTCATTATAATGTAATTTGTCAACAGTACAGAGTACAAGGTAGAAGTCATATTTACACAGAAATGTAATCAGGAACATTATGCTTCCTTAGTGAGAGTGTTGTATAATGGTAAGGAGAATCAGACATATTACAGGGTGTCCAGATGAAAGGTATCCAAAAAAAAATCTTGGGAACTAATTGACATACACGTATCCGGTTTATGTCATCAGAAAAGAAAACTGTGGAAGTTTTTTTTTATTCATGCCCAGCTTGGGCGCATGCGTCAGCTAATTATCTTCGGCGAGCACAGTAACGATATCTACAGAGCATGAACAGGTTAAATGCGTGTTGTGGCCAACAGAGTTGCAATCTCTTACAGCTGCCCAGCGTTGTTTTAGAACACAATATGGACGTCAGCCTCCTACACGGAAAAGCATTCCGTTCTGGGATAACAAACTGAGGCCTACAGAGAGTCTGTTGCATGTAAAATCTCCTGGAAAGACACGGACGTCTGAAGAAAATGTCAGTAGCATTAGAGAAACATTTCAGCGAAGTCCGCACAAATCAATTCATGCTGCTAGCTTGCAGTTACAAATTCCATGTTCAACAGTGCATGATGTGCTACACAAAAGACACTGCCTGAGAGGGTACAAGATTCAAGTGATAATGTAAAATTGTCCCTAAGCAGTACAGCATGAAGGCATATTGGGGAGTGGATTTATAGATCCATATTTTCTTGACCCCGGCACTAAGTAAGTAAGGTAAGTAGGTAAGTGGTCAGCTTCACGCCCCGGCCAATTTGCTGCTGGGGAAAGAGCTCCCAATACCAGCTGGATAGGCAGTTGGGTTGACCTTAGAGCTGATCTGGACGATGTGGAGAAAATTCTTAACCCTGCTGATACTCGAACTCCAACTCCTAGGTTGTCTAGTCCATAGCTAGTCTTTATACGGACTACGCTATACTAGCCCATAGATTCAAATGGTTCATGCACTAAAACCGAATGACCAAGTAGCACCCACAAACTTCACTGTGGACATGCTAAAAAGAATTGATGGGTCGCCCAATTTCCTCTGCCAAGTGTGATTCTCTGATGAGGCGAAGTCCCATGTCAGTGGAGGTGTAAACAGATACAACTGCAGGATTTGGGGCAGTCAGAATCCACATGTCACATGTAAATTGGAGAGAGGCAGTCACAAAGTGAACGTGTGGGCCAGCTTAATGCACGACAAGTTAATTGGACCATTTTTCTCATGGAAAGGCTGTGACTGGACGTTCGTACTTGAACATGCTGGAGCAGTATGTGCTGCCTCAATTATCACCTCAAACTATGCTCCAACAAGATGGGGCGCCGCCATATTAGAAATCACCTGGGCAGAGAGATGGATTGGCTGAAGTGGACCAATCGCTTGGCCTCCTAGGTCGCCAGATTTAACGCCATTGGATTTTTTCATGTGGGATTATGTGAAGAACATTGTTTACCAGGTTAAGATCAATGACCTTCAACACCTGAAAGCACGCATATGGGACACTGTGGCTATGGTAACACCAAACTGCTTCAGACAACGTGAAACGAGGTCGAATATCTCCTGGATATTTGGCGTGCCACCAAGGTAGCCCATATTGAAATTTATTGAGAAAGTTATATACTCAGAGAAGAGAACTTTGATAGTTTCCCTTTGTAATGGTGTAACCCATAAATGTGTATAATAAATCCTTTCTGATATATAATTATATTATTTTGAAGACCTTTCATTCAGACACACTGTATGTTATCTATTGTGCATACAGGATGACGAACGAAATGATCAAGTATTTGATTTAGTAAATATACACATATGTCAACTTTAGCGGATAGAGGGTGTCGTGTGGTCAGCGCAACGAATCCCCACGGCCGTTATTTTCGGTTTTCTAGACCGGAGCCGCTATTTCCTTGAAATAGCTCCTCAGTTATCTTCACGAGGCTGAGTGAACCACGTCCCAGACCCACTACTTCTCAGAAAATCTGGTAGCGCCAGGAATCGAACCCTGGACCTCTGGATCTGTAGCCAGGAACTCTGACCACTAGACCACAGAGACCTTCACCGACAAGTGGCGGTCGCTCGGTCGGTATAGTTCGCCTGCAGGCTCAAGCCGTGGAGTATTTTTTTATGTAATCATATGTGTGGGTATATATATATATATATATNCTGCTTACTGGGGCAGTAAATCCCAGTCAGGTTTATTTCACACGCATTTTCGCATGTCTTTAAAATATTATTCAGCCTCATGTTTTGTTCACGGGGGCAAGCGGTAGCGTAGTTGGTTCAGGCACTGTGCTACAAGCCAGAAGGTCACGGGTTCAAGTCCTGGTCAGGTGATTTTTTTTTTTTTCCAATTTGCCTAATCCACCCAGCCTCACTATGGTCCTGCAGTCGACTCAGCCTCTAACGGGAATGAATACCAGGAATCTTCCTGGGGCCTAAAGGGCAGCCGGCACATAAGGCTGACAACTTTACTGCCATCTGTGAGCTGATTGCCTACAGAAAATGTGGGAGCCTCTGCGTCTCACAACCCTATGGGCCTCCACTGCCTCTTACAGGGACACCTTTACTCTCTTTTTTTTAAGTAATTATTCAACTATACAATGAACGATGTTTTGTAACGTAATAACACAATAGATTTTGCAGATCAGTTTTTACTCTTCCTTCGTGCGCTCTTCCTGCTCATGCGCCAGTTTAAAGGAGATAACTGAGAAAGGAGGACTGTTTGTGGAGCAACACATAAAAAGTGTTGTTCTTTACTGAAATAAGAGGTGTTGTGGTCACACACAGGCAGTTTCATGCCCATTTTAAAACGCGATTGGCTCCGTCATTCAGAACAATTGATAAACTTTATAATCAGTTTAATAATGATGTATCAGAGTTGGAGAAGAAACATCGCCTGCATTCATCTGTACGTTCTCCAGATAACGTTGAGGCTGCCAGAATGGTGCTGCAAAGAAGACACAGTAAATCAGCAAGGAAGGCTGCAGCACATGTAGGGGTATCCAGATGATCGCTGCTACGAATATAAAAAAATGGTTTCAGTTTGTATCCATACAAAATGACAGTGTTGCCTCAATTTACAGTTCAAAACAAACACCAAAGAATGGCATTTGCTGAATTGGTTCAGAATAAGGAGGTATCGTTCTATAATGTTTGGTTTTCTGATGAGACACACTTCCACTTCAGTGGTGTGGTTAATAAACAAAACTTGCGACTTTGGGCATCAGAGAATCCCACGTGTGATGCATGAGAAGGTGGATCATGCACTGAGAAGTACAGTTTGGGTTGCTGTCTCAAGTCATGCTAGGGCCAGTTTTCTTTGAAGATGCAGTGAACAGTGAGCACTACATAAGCATATTGGGCAATACTTTTGTGCTTCACCTTCTTGCTGCAGGTTTGCTGTTACAGACTCAGTGGTTCATGCAGGATTGAGCCAGGCCATACACAGCAAATGTTTTGGACTTTCTGCATGACACTTTCAACTGACATGCAGTCTAAAACCGATTTCCTGATCGTTTTGCATGTGGACAGAACTGTCCCCAAATAGTCGTGATTTAAACTCATGTGACTTTCTTTGGGGTTTCCTTAAGGAAAAGATTTTTCTGAAAAAGCCGCCAACATTAATGGAATTGAGAGCACTAATTATTCAGGCCTGCAACGAGATAACTGATGATATGTGCCGTTGAGTAATCAGCATCACAGCTCGTGTTGAAGAAGTTTCCAGATGTAATGGTGGTCCTATTGAACACTTGATTCACAGAGAATAAATCTCCATGCAGTGGTCTTTATTTTTGTATGGTAGTTCCAAATATTGTAATAATTGAAATAAAGATTTTATTAATAGATTAAATACTGGATCATTTCGTGCGCCACTGTGTAGTATGCTACAAGTCTTATGAAACAATAATTCAGAATGGGTCATGAGGCACAGAAAGCTCCAGTACTGGTTAAATCGCTTACAGTTTTTCTCAGTCACTGCAGTGAAAGCTAGGATAGTACATCTAAGTAGGCCACAAGTGTTCCTTTGCCAGCCCTCTAGGTATTTCCTTCTTAGGCCATGCCACAACTCAGGTGGTTAGTCACCAGCTTTCAAATGTGGTGGCCCAGGTTTGAACCAAGGTCAGTTCATGTGGGATTTGAGGTGGGCAGAATGGTACTGTGGCAGGTTTTCTCCAAGTAATTTGGTTTCCCCTACAATTCCTCATTCCATAAACTGCTCCATATTCATTAATCAGTGCTATGTAGTGTCAGTGGTGATAGTGTCATTAGATGAAAAACTGAGAAACTTAAACTTGTCAGTTCACTGTATTTAATTATCCTTTTATTTCCTTAGGTGCTGCAGCTGATACATTATTAAACAAGCAGCAAATCATTCAGCGGAATGACTGGAAGGAAATTGTTTGTTTAATTTTTTGTGTAATCTGTTCTGCAGATAACAACAGCTTGGTTCTCTGACCTCTGACCTGTAGAACAGTAGGAAAAATGCAGCAATAAACAGTGCCATGATAATATAGTTCAGCCTAAACAGAAGATTGAATTGTGCTGCTGAAGCAGTCTGACCCACAAGAATAACATTGGATTAGTAATACTTGTACCTTGATTTAAGTTTGTTTTTTCACTACATTCTCAGTATTGTCACGTATCCTGGTAACGTGACAAGAAGTTAATGGGTTTTAGATTAGATGAATCGACTTATTGGACAAGTTCACCTGGCAGAACTACAGAAAATTGTAATACACACAAATTACTTTAACTATAAGACAGAAAACAAGGTTTTCAACGTCTTCTTGCTTGGAACAATTTCTGCCTCTTGAGAGCACGCTAGTTTGCTTCTGTCTTAACTTCTGCCTTCTTCCTCTGACTTCTGTGTCTTGACTTCTTGCTTCTGGCGTCTGACTTTCGAACTGGCCTCCATTTATACCTGCTAGGTGACTGGGGTAGCAGCACCTCCTTGAACAGTTCTGGTTTTCATTTCCTTGGTAACAGTCTGCCTATGTACACATTGTTTCATGAACATGTTTACAATTGTCACCCAGACAATGCATTCACTGCTCTTATTGTAGCAGAAACGTGACTACTGAGCCATTGTCCAGCAATGGACGCCAGCTCTGACGTTGATATCCTGGCTTTCAGGTGGCATGTCACAAATGTAAAGGAGTTGGTGGATTGAGAGTTGACGTGGGAAACAGAGTTCTAGGGGAAGAACAGCCCCGGTGCCACTTTGTCCACTACAAAACATTTTGTAGAGGACAGTTTTGATAAGAAAAGAATTGGATGAAAACGGGGGGATATTAGGAAACACTCTATTGATGTTGAATGGATGTGATCTGTCTTGTGCTCACGATTTCAGTAAATGGGACTAGTGGGGAGGGAATGTCCATGACAGTGGATGAGAGGAAGGCCACAACAGAAGCATGGGCTGCTGCTGTGAAAGAGACAAATCAGATCCTGATGGTTCAGGTTGGAGGTGCTTGCCTGAAAGATGTGCAGGAGATGGTAAATTCCACTTTATTACTAATTCTTTGGTGGCAGAACTCAGAAGTTGAACAATGCTATTACGAAAGATTACTATGGACACAGTCGTGAATCAGTTCTATCTATTTCCCATCCTCAGTTTCTCTAATATCTGTTCTAATAATGTAATAAATTCTTCAAATTTCTCATTGTCTCCCAAGTGGTCACGTGTTACTGGGATTCTGTATACATTTCATGCCTCTACAATCAAAGTCAAAGACATTCCGTTCCCTGTAACATAAAATTCATACTGCTAACTATCATAATATTTCTAATTGAATTAAAATCAGCAGATAAGTAACATAGTACACTCAGTAGCAATAAACACACACAACAAAATCTAAATATTTATGTGGTAAGGATGAGGTCAGCTTACGAATAAAGATTAGTTAGTAGGTCAGCTGACTGACTGTTTGGTTATTCTGGCAGTCGTTGGTCAGTTTATCAAATTATTTTTTGAGGAGTACTATAAGAGCAATTACTCAAGGTAATTATATATCTTTAAATATTAACTGTATTAAAAATTTGTTTCTGTGCCTAACTAATTAAGTACTATGCCATGAAGGCGTATGGAGGAGTGAATTTATAGATACACATTTTCTTAACCTCAGCACTAGCTGGAGGTGAGTGTTCAGCTTTATGCCCAGGCCACTTTGCTTCTGGGGATAGAGCCCTCAGTACCCATTGGATAGGAGGTTGGGTGGACTCCAGAGTAGGTCTGGGTGAAGTGGAGAAAATTCTTGACCCTACCAGGCCTCAAACTCCAATCCCTCCCTTGAAAATGGATCAAAAGTTTATAAGGAAATTTTGCAGGAAATAACCCCAGAAATATGTACCATAAGCCTGGGTAAAACTGTCAATCACCCTGTATAACTTTGGCATACATTGCGACAATTGTAGCTAAATAGACCACACCTGATGATGGCTGTATAGAGCTGAAACGTGTAGTGAGGGAGAAGGGTGACTAGATAATAAGGTCCATTTAAGATGGAAATTATGTTCACAGAAGTCAAAAGTTAGCGAAAGCTATATTTTCTATAAAAGGAACCAACTCCAAGAAGGTTGAGACAGTTCAATTTGAGCATCATTTAAATTAGGGCATATATTTTATTGATATGGACCAAAATTAATTTTTATTTACAGTAGAGTAAGATGTAAATTATCATCTGGGTATATCTATTTCATTTCATTGTGTTAATTACATGTTGTTAAAATTCCTAGACAGTGAAAACAAACACAATGAAACAGCACCATCATCACCATAGCAGAAAACTGGTTACAACAGAGAACTAGTAACACAAATGTACAACCAATTCAAAAGTAATCAACAGTACCATAACAAACAAATGGCTCAGAAAGAAAAATACGAATAGATTACCTTCACTTATTGAGGCAACTACATACATAGTGTGACATGTCAACCCGTTGTTGGGCGACAGGATGTGGAATGAGTTACCACAAAGACAGACTAAATAAACAATCAGGTGCTTAGTTACGCAACAGTGGAACGAGGTTATGCAACCTGCTTCTAAGTGCCAGCCGATAAACAAGACTCCCCTGCATGTGTGATGATGTCATACTGCAGTAGTGAGTAGGAGTCACGTAACCTGCTTTTCTGCAAGTGATGTCACGTGCCCCCCTCACCGATCCTGTTGATCCGCAGCAGTAAACACCCCTTCCATGCTAGGCCGTGATGTCACGCCACGTTTTCCGCCTGCCCAGTTGAGGGTTTGTAAGAGAAACTGGAATACCAAACAGTAATAAATATCTGGTCATGAGCCCTAGATGGGGCTCGACACCAACACTTACTGACTGACTGACTGACCGACCGTCAGTCGCAATATGACTTGGACTTGGACTTCGACTAAGGAGTCAGAGGAGCACCTGTGTGGAGGCAGGGTTGAATACCTCCACCGTGACCCTGCGAGTCGTAGAAGGTGATGAAAAGGGAAGTCTCAAATCTGAGACAGTAAAATATGGTCTCAAGTACTAAGGGACTCGGACCTGAGAAAGACTGCACTGGCAAGGACCAGCAGCATATACAAAAGACAGACCCGTCCTCTCGTCAGAGATGGCGCCCCACAGAAACAAGACTGTAACTGTCAAACAGTAATAAATATCTGGTCACAAGCTCCAGATGAGGCTCGACACCAAGACATACTGACTGACTGACTGACTGACTGTCAGTCACAATGTGACTTTGACTTTGACTTGACTAAGAAGTCAGTATTTGGCAGTATTTGGAGAGTATCTGGGCGTATTTGAGAGTAACAGCAACAAGAAGTTCATAGAAGACCTACGAACATTTAAAGGATGATTGAAGACCTTAATTATATACAATATTTGGAGTGATCTGAAGCGCTAATTTCTGTGTTGAGATACGTTACCCAGAGAGGACTGGTGTGTGCGCGTGCAACAGTGGATTATGAGGTGTGTGTGTGTGTGTGTGTAAATCAGCGATAGCTATATATGCATTTGAGTGTAATTAAGAGAGAGTGTAACTAAGGGGTTAATGAACCCAATTACCAATCTGAACAGTGTCTCAGCAAAACACGTTAGAATACTATCATGAAATTATTCAAGAAAACAGAAATCAGGATAGTGTTTAAAACTGGCAAAACTATAAAAACCTACCCCACAACATTAACCACTGACATTTTTGAAACTTCAGGGATGTATAAATTTACGTGCCTAAATTGCAAGAAAGTCTGCATATGACAAACAGGACATTCACTTTACTTCAGACACAAAGAACAAGTAAGAAATATAAAATAAAATAAAGAAGATTCAGGGTACACAGCACACATCCTAACCAACATTCATCAGTCTGATAAAGTAGAAGATATTGTGTACAAAATAGATTGAGCAAAAAAGATCAAATAATGGATAAAAAGGAAAATTTCTTTATCTTTATGCACAAAAGCAAGATGAAATAATACAGGAACAAAAATCTGAAGAAAGAAACAACATCAACATTAACCTTTATGGCAGCAAAATAATTCCTGATCATGTGCGCACACAGACCCAACCACATACATGCCCACACATCAGTCCGTCCCTACCAAAAGGTGAAATGAAACCACAGAGCCCAGTATTCGGTAAATATTTAGATAACATGCATTGTGTTTTAGTAATAAAAAAATTTGCTTATTCATTTGACCCAGCAGTAATAAGCATATGCCTTACCTGATATTACATAATATTTACAGACACCTAAGAAATGAGTGACAGCAACATACATCATAGCACAACACACCATAATCAAGTGAATTACAATAACTACAACCTATATCTGTATTTGCCCTGGCCTTTTATAAGAAATTTATGACTGATATATTTGAAATTCTTAATTTTTATATTTATTTATTTATATTTTTATATATGTGGTTGTGTAATACTGATACATGTTGGGGGTTTTAACAACATGTAATCAACTACATATATGTACTTAGATGGTAATTTATTTATTATTCTGATATAGACAGTATTTAAAAAAATGAACACTTTCAAAATTTGATCTGCAGCTTGTAGTGTAGACCCTATCGTGTCATGGAAATCCAGTCACTAAGGCAGAAAATGGAAACATACAGACACATGATGTCTCACTTTATGCAATATGTGTGAAAAACACATATAAAATCAGAAATAACTACACTAAACTTTTATTACAATTTCTTTTTTATGTACTCTAACATTGAAATCTCTTATGTATATTTTGTTTGCCTACATAAAGATATTACTGAGAATGTGGACATGGAAAATTTTTGCTTGAGGCCTGTGATTTAGAATGATAATGCTCTGCAGGCAGCTCATGCTGAAAGACTTGGCGTTGATGGGCTCCTGTGCCTGCCTGAGTTATTCAACAAACCAGCAACAGTGGATCAGCTAGTGGAATACCTGAAGTATGTGGGACAGGCAGCTCCCAAGACGCCCCTTCTGTACTATCACATTCCTTCATACACTGGGGTTAAGGGTATGTATTATATGAGGGAGAGACGTATGACCCATTTGTGACATTACTAGGGTGTAAAGTGTGAAATTCTCATGACAGTACTGTGATCTACAAGGTGTTGCCATGTAGTGTGGTAGATCATTACCAACATGTCAGAGGAATATGCTGCCTCAGGGTAGATCTTTTGCTCCGTATGCATTGGTTACAGGATCTGAGCCAAATAAATGGAAATAACCTGAACAGTGTAAGATGTGAAGTTGGTAAACATTTCAGGAACAGAGGGAATATCTGAAAGAAAAAATTATGAGCTTGCAACGCACAGTAAAACAAAAACATTGGAGACATTATAATATATATAAACTTAAGGAGAAACTGAGAAATAACATGGAAGGGGATAAGAACGGTGATCTGCTTGTAGATTCCTACAACACTTCGATTAAGTGGAAAAATTACTTGTCTCAGCTATTGAATGTGCATAGTGTTAGTGATGTTATGGAGATGTAGATACTTATACATACAGCTGGGCCTTTAATACCTGAGCCTAGTCCTTTTAAGGTTGGAATAACTGTTGAGAAGTTGAAAAGTATAAATCACAACTTGATCAGATTCTGGAAGAATAGATTCAAGCAGGAGGTGTAACATTGTGTCCTGATATTTATGAACCTATTAATTCTGTTTGGAATTAGGAGAAATTACTTCAGCAGTGGAAGGAGTCTATTATTGTGCCTGCTTAAAAGAAGGGTAATAAAACAGACTGTAGTAATTATTGAGGCATGTCAGTGTTATCAGCTTTGTACAAAATTTTATACAATATCATTCTCTCAAGATTAAACCCATATGTAGTCAAAATTATTGGGGATCATCAGTGTGGCCTTTAATGTAACAGATCAACTACTGATCAGATTTTTTGCATTTGAGAGGAAATGGAGAAAATATCAATGTACTGAGACAGTACCTCAGCTATTCATAGACTTAAAAAAGCTTATGATTCAGTTGGCAGGGAAGTATTGTACAGTATTCTTGTTGAATTTGGTATACCCATGGAACTAGCTAGGCTAATTAAAATATGTTTACATGAAACCTATAGGGAAATCTGTATAGATAAATATTTGGCTGATACATTTCCTATTTGGAATGGCCTGAAATAAGGAGAGTTTGTAGCCATTTCTTTTCAAGTTTACTTAGAATATGCTAGTAGGAAGGTTCAATAAAACCAGCTAGGATTGAAATTGAATGAGACATATCAGCTTCTGGTCTATACTGCTGATGCAAATACGTGATCGCCATAAAGAGAAACACAGAAACTCCAAAGAACTGTAGTAAGGTGTTTGTCTAGAAGTAAATACAGAGAAAACTATGTTGATGTCTCATCATCAAAATGATGGGCAAAATTATAACATAAAGATAGCTCATAGATTCATTAAATATATGGGCAGGTTTGAATATTTGAGAGTGACAGTAGCAAATCAAAATTTGATTCATGAGGAGATTAAGAGCAGATTAAATTTAGGTAGTGGCCGCTGCCATTGAGTTCAGAACCTTTATCTTCTCATCTACTGTCTAGAAACTAAAATATTAATATACTGTGGCTTATAAACCTGTTGCTATGCAGTGACTCTAAACAGCGACCGTTTCTGGCCAAAGGCTTGATAAACATGTTCCTCTTGCTAGGCAGCAGATTCTTAATAATTCAAAAGTTGGACTATAACAATGGAAGCAGAGTGTTTCTACATGGTCTGTGCAGGGATATTATAAGCAAGGGACAGAATCAGTTGTTGGTCATCCCTGTGTGGAGGCGGGGTTGAATACCTCCACTGTGACCCTGCGAGTCATAGGAGGCGACGAAAAGGGAAGTCTCAAATCTGAGAAAGTAAAATATGGTCGCAGGTCCAAAGGGACTCGGACCCGAGAAAGACTGCGCTGTCAAGGGCCAGCAGCATATACAAAAGACAGACCTGTCCTCTTGTCAGAGAGGGCGCCCCACAGAAACAAGACCATAACTGTCAAATGGTAATAATTAATATGTGGGGCTCGACACCAAGACTTAGTGACTGATTGACCGACCATCAGTCACAAGGTGACTCTGACTTTGACTTTTGAGTTGTTGGTCAGTTCTCTACTGGAATCTGTGAAGAAAGGACTTTTTTAATTTTTTAATTTGCTTAGTCGGGGGGGGGGGGGGGAGTCCAACTGGGTCCAGTCAGCATGGCGGCCACTGATTGGCCTATTGTAGCCTGCCCCAGGTGATTATGATGATGGAGAATTTGGTGGAATGAAGATTGACAGGGGAAACTGAAGTACTCAGAGAAAACCCACCCTAGTGCCACTTTGTCCACCACAAATCCCACTTGACCAGACCCAGGATCAAACCAGGGCCACCGCGGTGGGAAGCCAGCAACTAACCATTTGAGCTTTGGCACAGCCTAAGAAAGGAATTGAGCTGGATGCAGGGAAATAGCCACTGTCAGAGCTGTTACCAGGAAGAAACCTTCAATAACAGATGAACATTAGATTGTGTGGTGTAGTGAACTGTAAAGTGTGGATATTAGCGATGGCGCTGTAATTGCTTGTAGTTCTGCTTTGTGTGTATAAGTGGTCAATGAATCCATTCACCAATCCGAACGCCATCTATATAATCACACATACTACATGACATCTGGTGTCAGAAGTGGTCAGATTGGAAAGTGCATTGGATCTTTATTGTTGTACCGCCATACAACAGAAATGGAATAAATGACAGAACTCATGAAAGCCATGCTAGAAATGATGGAAAATGCTGGTTCTGTAGCCTCCTGGGTGGATAGCAACCAAGCAAAAACAGAAGCCATCGAAGCTAAGGCAGACACCAGTCTAAGGGAAATGAGAGCTGGCCAAGTAGAAGAAGAAATGCTGACCATGATGAAAGCCCATCCTGAAAGGATGATGGCCAGGATGGACTCCCAGCTGGAGAAAATGGAGGTTATGGAAGAAATATTCCAAGTCAGAGCATGAGGATATTCCTAAGGATTATTATAATGCTGCATGTTTTGGCCGTATAAGGCCATCTTCAGGAAACACTTATGTGAGGAATCCTAATACGCTGCACAGTAATCGAATGTCAGTCCTTTTATCACTTTTGTTTCATTTTTTATGTTTTCTTCTTTATATCTTTTATGTTGTGTGGCTATTTCTCTGTAATGTGTAATATGTACTTTAATGAATACAATTATACTTAATTTGTTTGATTACATTTCTTGTGTATCTAAGTGCTGTTTCTCTGTACTAACTTATTTTGCTGGTGTGCTCGTGATTGTATGTTTCAAGTGTGCCTTTGCATTCACTGTATTAATTTTTGGTGTGATTGCTCTTGCTTATATATCTTTTTAGGTATTAGGTGTGCTGCTACCTATCGTAAAGCTTATGCACTCTTTGGACTATGGGGTTCTGCACTTTGATGTGTGTATACACAAATGCATATACATAGTATATTTTAATAGTTTTATATAACATCGTATGCTCATAATGACCGCTGTGTGATATTAAAGTGTGAATCAGTGTTATTGATTGTTGCATTATAGACAGAACATTTGATACACGATAATTAAAAGGTATGTTCCAACATTTGTAAGATATGTAAATAATGGTAAAATTAAAAGGAAAACGTTTTAGTTGTAAAGAGCTGCCTGAAAGAAGCAAAGGGGAAGATATGTTTAATGTATTGCCTTCATATCAGGAAACAAAATGGTATGTCTTTGGAGAACTGTGTAGGCATCTGTACTGATGGTGCCCCATCAATGGCTGGCTCCATTAAGTGCTTCGAAGAAACTAGTCTACTTAGCAGACACTTTTCATCACATTAACCAGTTGAACAAGTCTCCGCAAGGCCTCAGAGAAAATGTTTTGACGTCAAGTAACAAGATTCTTAAATTTGAAAGGAAACTGAATCTTTGGAAAAATCATGTTGTGAAAGGAAATCATAAAATGTTTCCACTTCTGCTGGGGCTTGAGAGTGAAGGATATCAGCAGATTGCTAGTTTTATTGAAAACCACTTTGAAGAAAAGCAGAACAAAATAAAACATTATTTTTCCTCCCTTTCAACACAAGTGTATGACTTGCAGTGCGCACGCAGCACGACACTCACATGACTCATGTGACCTTCGCCATCTGTTGAGAAAACATTACACTACACTACCATGCAAGAATTATGACTACATGTCATTTTGTTCCAAAGATATTGACTATCAAAGAGTGAGTAAATTTTTTTTGGACCCCCCCCCCTGTATTTGTGACCAAAAAAGAAGCACAGGTCTCACATTAAAGTATTAAATTTCATTATGAATTTTAGTTTAAAAAATAACACTGTCTTAGACAGTATTTTTGTCCATATTGCTTCATCTTATGGTTTTCAGTAACCTTACTATTCAGCATTTTAAATAAATTTTCATGTTGTAAATAGCCCTAATTAAGATGACTTTACAGCCTCTATTTACACTAAATCCAGAGCCTACCTTTATAATAATTTTTGTGTATGGTCTCCCTGAGACTTGAAAATTATTTCAAGGGTTCCTCCAAGGTGGAAAAGTTGAGAAATGCTGTCCTAGACCATCAGTCCTACTCTGTTTCTGACTTGTTTTGACCCACATGAATTCAACCATTATCCCTTGACTGTGAGCCCTGTCCTGTGAATATTTTTGCTATGACTATTCCATTTGTGCAGTGAGCATGCCACAGTTCCTGGCCACTGCTGCTTGCAATATCCCAACATTTGCTGGAGCAAAATACACCGACAGCAACCTGGAAGAGGGAACACGGTGCTTGGAAGTGAAGAGTGAAACACTTGGCCTTTTTCTGGGCTGTGATCATGTATGTATGCTGGATATTCCAGTGTTTTTATTGCCACCAATGTGATTAAGACCTGAGATTCTCACTGTGATGAATATTAAGATTACAGTCTTCTGATATATGACATTGTAGTTTAGTAGGTATGTACTAGCATTTTGGAGGAACCTCTTATAATCAACCATGAAGATGAAGGCAGCAGTTTCCTCCATTGTTGGTACTTATCAACCAAACTATATGGCATCACATGCCAGAAGACTTAATTAGTTTAATTTAATTGTGTTTGTGTCTATATATATATATATATACAGGGTATCCCAGGAGGAATGTGCCAAACTTCGGGAGGGTGTTCCTTATGTTAAAGTATGCCGATATAACCCAAAACACCTATGTCCAAAGTTGAACGGTTACGGAGATAATGGCCCGAGAAGAGTGTGGTCTTATGGCAGGTCCAAGCACTGTACCTCGCTGTACCTCTCAGCTGAGAGCCCTTATCTATGTTTGTCCTTGAGTGCGATGATACTCCCTAGCCGTGCTTATGTAGTTGGCTCATACCAGAACGCGCAGTCAGCACGTTACGTCATCGCTCGCCAGTCATGTGTTATGTATACTGCTTGGAAACCTAAGGACAATTATGACATGGCGAGCGAGTATTTTGTACTTCACTTTTATGGCTTTCCGTCACTCACANCTCACTCACTCATGGAGCTTAGCCCTTCTTGAGGGCCACTCAAGAATTTCCCAGTAATTTATGGAACCCAAAGGTTCATTACCATGTTCACAAGAGCCCTATCCTGAGCCATATCAGTCCAATCCATACCATACCATCCCATCCTGTCTCTAAGATCCATTTTAATATTGTCCATCCACCTGTGCCTTGTTTTTCCCAGTGGCCTCCTTCCTTCTGGCTTTTCCGCTAATATCCTGTATGCATTCCTCATCTCCCCCATTTGTGCTACATGCCCTGCCCACCTCATCCTCCTTGACTTGATCATTCTAATTATACTTGGAGAAGAGTACAAGTTGTGAAGCTCCTCATTATGCAGTTTTCTCCAATCTCCTGTCACTTCATCCCTCTTCGGTCCAAATATTCTCCTCAACGCCCTGTTCTCAAACACCCTCAGTCTGTGTTCCTCCCTTAATGTCAGAGACCAAGTTTCACACCCATGCAGAACCACAGGCAGAATTATGCTTTTTGTATATTCTAATTCTTATGTTTTTAGATGGTAGATGAGAGGAAAAAAGGTTCTGGTATGAATGGTAGCAAGCATTACCCGAGTTCAATCTCCTCTTAATTTCCTCCTGAATCAGGTTTCAGTCTGTTATCATTGTTCCCAAATATCTGAACTGTGCCACATTTTCAAAATATGTTTCCTATCTTTTATGTCGTGATTTTGCCCTGCATTTTGGTGACGAGACAGCAACATATACTTAGTTTTCTCTGTGTTTACTTCTAGACCAACCTCTTTACTTGCGTAAATTAAAGTTGTGTGTTTTTCTTTATGGCATCTATATTATCACCCAGTAGATTCACATCATTGGCATAGACCAACAGCTGATGTATCCCGTTTCATATCAGGTCCACCTGGTTTTCCTGGACCTTCCTAATGGCATATTCTAAAGCAAAGTTGAAAAGGAGTGGCAGTAAATAATCTTCTTGTCTTAGACCATTCTGGATAGGAAATTTATCAGACAACTGTTTACCTATATGGACTTTACTATACGTTTTGTTTAAACAAATTTTAATCATGGGTATCAAATGGTGTTGGCTTATAATAATTAAGGGTTTAATTTAGGAAAGAGAGCTAAAGGTGATGGGTAACTAGTTCAGCTGTTGGTAGAGCTGAGATTCTTCCTCAGAGCGTTTGGCAGGGCCTTGCTTAGGCAGGGAAGGGATGAACATGATACTGCACATTTGCACTTAAGCACTGTAATCATTTATTAACACTTTTATCCACTTGATAGCACACAGTTAATATATATACTTGTATATAAGTATTTATCTAGCTTTAGTCCAGATACACCAGAAGTTATGATAATACTTTATTTAAACACTTTGGCTTGTTGAATTTAGGCTTTGTGATACACACTTTTTATCTACACAGTTCACGAGTTGGCAGACAACTGAACTGAGCAACCGACTTCTCTGAAGACCCTGAGGTCCTCAGTCTGTCAGTTCATCAGCTATTTCACTCCCCATAAATTCACAGATTGGGTAATTTTGAAATTTGGGAATTCACATAATATTTGGATTTCCAGTGAGCTAACTGTAGTATGGGATTTTGATCCTTAATGCCCTAACATCGTTTTTGACAGCACAGTGGTGGATACTATGCTTAGCGTTGGTATCGAGCATGCCTATTTTTAAGTTACAATGTTCTGGACTCGTCAGAGTTTGTATTCTCAAAGTTTGCTGTTGTGTTACTCGTAGACAAAATTTCTAAGAAAAAGCCACAGGATGCTTCCTGTGAAACAGTAAGACTGGGAATAAGTCAGTTCTTGAAGAAAGAATTCTGCTACTGGCAATTCTTTTGTACCAATGATTCTGGTTATACCTAAAACTAGTGCGCTACAATGGAGCAGTTACAGTTGGCCTAGAAGTTTCTCATCACCTGAATGCAGGACAAAACTGTAATGTAAAGAGTGCCAATAAGAGCTCTGAAGTGTATTGGCATATCAAAATAATATCCATGATGGAATTAGATTACATTCAGGAAATGGATGGTACTGTTCCATTTAGAATCTGTTCTCTTATCATAAAATTTAACATTAACATTAAAATGTTCAGAACTAGGATTTACTTGTTGCATAGTTTGCATAGTGTAGTTACGAAACTTTGTTGTCCAGTCTGAAGGAAGAATATATTGTGGCATGTATACCCGTTGCCAGTCGACGCCCACAACACGCGGCCAGCAGTATAGGAGCAGTGTTTCCTTTGTTCACGGACGTGCTGTCGCTATGCAACAGCCACACTGTGACATCACACAACAGTATGTGGCCATCATGTGACACGTTTCCTACGTGATGCACCACAATGATGTTATTGACGCTTGGATTACACAACAGTACTGCTGATCACAATGTTTCCATGTGTTCCGATTCAAAGCTACATGACAAGGGCCAGACCAAACGAAAATGAGTAGTGGAACTAGTAGTGCCACTAGTAATGGAAGCAAGAAAAGTGGAACCAAGACTGCAGAAGAAAACAGAAGAATATTTACAAATGGGAGGTTAAAATTGAGTTGGATCTTAGAGAAATAGGGTGTGAAATTGGCAACAGATTGAACTTGCTCATATGGTTTATAGGTGGGCTTGTGTTATGAGTGTACCTTCTTGTTGAATAATGATAACCTTCTGAATGAAGACCCTGAAACTTGAATAACCAGTCAATCTGCTGTGTAGAGAACTCACATATACTAGTCAGCTAATATAATGGAGGTCACGTGTAACAGTTACCTGTTTAGTCTGAAACATAGGAGTGATAAATAGTTTTTCTGATTAAAATCTCACAAATTAAAAGTCTCCAAATTGATGTTAAAAATGTGGGAAAATTTGTCATCCAGGTAGGATTCAAAGCCTCATTTGCTGCTGACTGTACAGCTTGTAATTATTTGAATATTTATCTACACTGTATAGTCAGAGCCACTGACACTCATTGAATAGACCATAAAAAATAAACATGAGTGTTTATTATTATCATTTATTAATATTGTACTGTCTTGTATTTTTGACTTTTCTATATCCAATGGTTGTACCATTATGGATCAACAGAATAAATAAAAAAATAATAATAAAAATTAAAGTTTTTATTCATCATCTTGTATACAGAACACATTTTAAAAACAGATTCGGTTTCTGAAGTGTTGTGTTCTGTTTTGATTGCTAGATGAAAGACAATGTCCAGAAATCTAGTAATTCTGAGTGTAACATACAATCATGAGAATTCTTTAAAGATGAGTTGATGATGTTAAAGGATTATTATACAGTGCTGCAACAGGTGCAGGTGTTTATAGGTTTATAATGAAATGAGAGAATGATTATGCACATTCATTGGATACTCAGTTGTGGTCTATTTGAAGGTACTGGCTAATGAAAAGTATGAGAAGTTCACTTAGTGTAGCAAATGTTACATCCCAGATTCCGACTGACTACCTCAAGATGAACCTTCCTGTTGGGTACAGTATCAGTTATCCTTCTGATGAAGTTAGGAAACCCAGTGGATCACTCTTGACTCATGAACTATTATTTCCTGTCATTTGTCTTGCTTCATATGAAGTTATGCCATAGGTATACTTTCTTCTGTATCCAGGTTCTCGCTGGGGCTTTTGCGCTGGGTTTTGACTCAGCAGTTGCCACAAGCCTCAACATGCTTCCACGAGCAAATATAAAAATTCTAGAAGCAATGAGAAACAATCACCCCAGTGAAGCTCTGCAGGAGCAGAGGAAGCTGTCACAGGCCATAAATGTCATAACTCGTAATGGTATGTACCCTAGGGACAGTTAGCTTTATGTAAGGTGAGAGGTATCAGGCTAGCCAGGGTGGTCCAAGGCGGCACCCTAGTGCTATTTCATTTACTGTGATGTTAGCCTTGCACTTCTTTTAGAGGCAATGGTGTCAAACAGAGCCAACCCCTTAAAATATAAGCTAAGGAGTACATTCCTCAGGAAACTTATATCCATTCTGTAGTGTAAAAGTCAGGTAGTGTGAAATTATATGCTCTGGTATGAAAGTTCCCATGCCTATATAATTTATAAGGAATGAAATGCAGTGAAGAAGAAGGCAGGTCAGATGAGCATAATTACACACAAAAGTATTCACCTAGCTTTATGTAAGTATATAATAATAATTGTTGCTTTAAAATATATTAAATTAAAATGTTGAATAGTTTAATTTTGAAGGAGAGCTCACTGTGCTTATAGAATTCTTTAGAAAGTTATCTCTCAGTAATTAGAAATTCTGAGAACAATCGTGTATTTACTGCCTTTGTTTTGGGATGTTCTGCCCCCTATAATGTTACATAATAATTTTTGAATCTCTATGAAGTTACTAGTCAGAATTAGGTGATTCCATTGTTAAGAGATCTTTTATAACACACACTTTTGTCATACAGAAAATTATATATTCAGTTTGATAACAGTAAGTGTGGTTGAATGATACGAGTCTATTTTTGTACTGTGTGACTGAATTATGACATACTGTGTTGGGTGTTCATTTGACATATTCTATGACATGACTCATACTAGCCAGTGAACAAAAAGGACTGAGTTCTGTAAGTACCAGTATTATTAACTGGAGTTGAGAGTTATTAACATATTGGTTGATATGCTAATCTGTTATTAGAAGACCAGCATTGAGGTTTGGGCATGAAGGTTGATGAAAATGTACACTTAAGTGTTCAGAGTGAAGGTAAGTTGTACAGGGTGTATCAAAACTTGTTCATAAAACAAGCACAACATAATCCATCTGTGAGAGCTAAGAAATATTGAAGCTATCATAATTTGAGGCTTAGCATCAGAGAAATATCTAGAATGAAATCATACCGGGAGAGAAGCAATACTCCTTGTGGTACACAAGCACAACATAATCCATCTGTGAGAGCTAAGAAATATTGAAGCTATCATAATTTGAGGCTTAGCACCAGAGAAATATCTAGAATGAAATCATACCGGGAGAGAAGCAATACTCCTTGTGGTACCAACATACGAAACAAATAGTTACCCAAACCAACTACACTTGACGTTGCTGTAGTCTCTTGATTTCTGCTGTAATGACAGGGGCCCAGATGGGAGATTGGAATTCGTTGGAATGAAGCGAAGGTCTTGCAGATCGAACCCAACACCACATACAGAAGATACAAGGAATCAGCCCACATGTCTCTGCTGGACCATCCAATCAGTCAACCCAGTGTGGATATCTCTCCCATCTGGGCCCCTGTTATTACAGCAGAAATCAAGACACTACAGCGACATCAAGTGTAGTTGGTTTGGGTAACTATTTGTTTCATATGTTGGTACCACAAGGAGTATTGCTTCTCTCCCGGTATGATTTCATTCTAGATATTTCTCTGGTGCTAACCCTCAAATTATGACAGCTTCAGTATTTCTTAGCTCTCACAGATGGATTATGTTGTGCTTGTGTACCACAAAGAGTATTGCTTCTCTCCCGGTATGATTTCATTCTAGATATTTCTCTGATGCTAAGCCTCAAATTATGATAGCTTCAATATTTCTTAGCTCTCACAGATGGATTATGTTGTGCTTGTTTTATGAACCCCTTCTGAAACTGGCATAGTTGTCCGGAGATAGGGGCTAGCTCTGTCTATTGGACCCAACTGAGTAGGTTTTACCTGAAAACGGGGACAGATTCCAGTTCCCGAAACGTTGTGTTTTTAATAGAAACTAGACGGTTTTTTAGAACAGACAAGATGATGGATAATGTCCAGCAACATATTAATTGTTATAATGAAATGTAATTAAAATCAGTGTTCCATGAGGTTCTTAGAAAAACGCTTTAATTTCGTGGATACAATTTCATGTTGCTAGAGAGTAAGTTTGAGGAGCACTTCCTTGTTGTGAGTGATGCCTATTGGTTCTGAGTGAGCATGTAACATTTCTTTGCCTCTGTACATCCAAGCAGTTTGTGTGCATGATAGTATAGTGTCATGAGTAGAGCAGTTAATTATAATAAGCGATATTCAGAATTTCACATTTTTTGTTTGTGAATGAGGCTTTCCACTTGTATCTAGTTGCGTGCATATGTTCATATCCTTTCCATAGACACATTTGAAGTACAGGATTCAGACAGAAACAAATTACAGAGTATGTGTGGCGTGAAGTGAAGAGAGAGAGTATGTGTCACTGTAACAATACACATTTGTGCATGACAGTTAAAGGGTTATACTGAAACTTGAGGAAATCGTAACCAACGAAATTTTATCTTCCTCAGGAGGCTGGGTGTCAACTATGAAAGCTGCAATGAGTCTGATGACCTCAATTCATGTGGGACCTCCACGACCACCCCTAATCCCACTCAGTGATGAACAAATTGGAGTGCTTAAAGAGGACTTGGCAGCCCTGGAATTAATGTAGTCATTCATACAGTTCCGTTTTCAACAGATTGTGCCATTGAATTCTCTCCTTAATTTTATGCATTCTTTGTATAAAGAGAAATAATATTGATAAGATTCTTTTCTCGCATTTCTTGATGCATTTTGATTTAGTGATCCACACCAGAAGTTTGCAGGTGAATTTAATTTTGGTGTGTACTCATTAACTACAACCACTTATATACATGAAAATCAAATTGAACATTGTTAAATTTCTCAGAAGTAGTAGTTCATCATATAACCTTTAAACGCCAGACTTTTGAAATGGTAGTAAGCTTGAGCTGGCCGGAGTTTATTTAAATGCCCATTGTTACTCTGCGTTTAAATGTCCATTCCTGTTAGGGCTCTTAAACAATTTTAAGCATTGTGTTTAAAAATGCTGTATCTAATATTTTTATGATAAATGGATGGAATTAACTTTGTTTATATCAGCAAAGAACATAGTGTCGCATATTATAACGGAAGATTTTAAAATTTGTATACAAAAAACTAGCTGTACCCAGCAACGTGTTGCTGTGGCTCAGTCTGGTTAAATGGAAAATAAAAAAAAGAGAAAGCACACATTTCTAATATGTTTAATTTCACAATGCTTGTGAGTATACAATATTTTTTGTTGTTCCATTGTCTGTGCAGATACAGAGATTGTCTGGTTTGCCGACTCTAGAACACGCAACATATAATTGTCCATGTGAGAAGCAATCCGTGTCTAGATCTAAACCGCACAATTCTAAAGATTGGCCCTGAGCTTTGTTGATGGTGATTCCTTTCATTTCTCCATTAAATTTCAGAGCCTTGCAATAAGCACACACCTCAGTCATAGTGCTGATGAGAACATGCCGGCTCAAACTATAATCTTCAGCTGGGCTGTACCAGAATGCAAGGCGATTGTAATTGCGTGATTGCTGAGCATGGAGTTGTGTTTGACGCTGATCTGCTGTTTCTCGTTGACGTCTTTCAGCCACTCTCAACCTGTCGCGTTCATTCTGTTGAGAACGAAGCAGACCTGAAGCTGCAGAACGCAATCACCGTGCTCGCAACTGTGCATCCTCAAGTCTGGCTGCACATCGCTCTGCTGCTTCCTCGGCACGTATTTGAGCCATTCTTTGCCTGTTTCGCTCATTCGCTGATGCCCGTTCTTCCCCAGTTTGATTTGCAATTACTCGTCGCACTGCTTCCGCTCCGCAAGTACGATGACCTACGAGGCATTATTTGGATGAACTAAACACTGAAGAAGAAGAAGAAAGAAAGTTATAACAAAAACATATAAAATTGCAAAACATTAAAAAAGGAAAGAACACAAACTGGAAAACAAAGAAGAAACAAAAAAAATAAAAAATACTAACGAAATATTTCAATTCAAACGCAGATGAATTGACACGGCTCAATTCCACCGCCAATTGCACTGAAAAATAAGGAAAACGGTTAAGAAAATGAAATGAAAAACAATGAAAGAAGAAAAAAATAAACTATACTCATGAAATGAACGCTATGGTAAACGACACAGCTCAATTCAAACGCAATGTCACACGAAATAATTAAATCAAAATGAAAATAAATTGACATCTATGAAAATCCAATTTAAGAATGCAATCGGAAAATATTTAGTATAGCATGTGTTGCTTTTACGTCCAAGAGATGGCGCTGTTTTTCAAAAAGAAGCATGTTTTTACCTGTCACAGGTGTGACATCTATGTAACAGGTATATAAAAACGCGCGTATTCAAATGCAACGTTGTGTCAAAATTTCAAAGCAATCGGTGAAGAACTTTTGGGGATTTAAGAATTTGAACAAATGAACATTTACATTTTTATTTATATAGATAGATTGACATTTTTAATGATTTTAACATCATAAAGTATTAAAATACATTTTTAGTGAGTGACATATTCTTGATGTCTTTTAAGTTGTTGCATTATTTACGTGTACTTTGATAATAAGAATATGTCGCGTGTATGTAACGTTGTTGTGGTCACACGTCTCCTATTCAGTGCGACAAATAACTTCCACATACGTCTCACATTCCGCGAATAAGTTATTGAACGCTCACTTTTACACCAGCGAGTATAATTATTATCACGTCCAGTATCACCGAAAAACTCTTCGGAGCTGGACTATTATAACCTGGTTTTGGACACAATAGAGGGCACTTTCGCCCAGGGTTCGATTTCACATGTCCTGTGCTCATTGCCGCAGAAATGCATTATTTCCGCTGTTTCAACAGTTCGTTGCCACGGNTATACCCTTTTTTCAGTTTTTTTCCTTTTAATTTTGATATGTACCACAAAAATACTTTCCCAGTTCTTCACAGAGTTGTTCTGCATTATAAATTAATTTCTGTTTGTAACACTTGACAAATTTTAGCAGACCCTGGTGTCATAAAACAGACGGAAGCAATAAAATCGTTTGGTTCTCTGCTGGGAAACCTTGCATCTTGTTACACCCTTCAGATTTTCAAATCTTTTGACTAAAGGACAGAAGAATGGAAGAATGGCTATTCAAGAAAAAGAGCTAGAGGGGTCCCTTCTTCAGTGCTAAGACCTTCCGTTATAGCTGCAAGAGATTATTGCCCTTTCTATGGTCGTGAACAGACAGTTGTATTATGGCTTAGATACAGAAGGCGATCTGTTTTCTGTGCGTTCATAGTGAAATCGAATTCTGTAGTTTCATTTCAGCCTATATATACATCAATCAGATAACAACAAAAAAGGTATGTATAGCGAATTTTAATATATATTTTTAACACATTAATCTGCAGAATCTGCAATAAAAGTACTGGCTCGTGGACGAGTTTGGGCATAACTCATACGTATGTTCTTTTTTGTTGTTGCTCACTTAGGTATCATTTTAATTAATCTATTAGGGTTTTACTCAAGTCTGTCTGGTAATTACTACATATAAAAATAAATATTTAGGGCTGTGCATGTGCTTTTACTAGCGGCATGTGCGTGCACTTCCACTAGCGGAGTTTAAATGTCCGACTGGACAAAACGGGGTACTTTGGCCACGATGACTACACTCATCACTGGCACAAACAGGGCACTTCAGACGTTAAAGGTTAACATGCTTACAATTTTTAATACTCTAAAATGGCAGGCATTTCAATTACCTCTGGCCTGCTGCCATTACCAGAATTTAAATGGCCTGTCTCTTAAAGGTTAATAATGGTATCTCTATGGTTATTAGGCATTCATATGTAGTTAAACCCTAGAAGTGTCAAACCGCTCTTCTTTAATGGATATGTAATATACACAAAAACTCTTTAAGAACTTGTTAGGAAAAATTCCCTCAAAGTATTTCTTAATTATGTAGTTCAGATAAAATTCCAGCAAATGTCACATGTTGTGAGATACAACAAAATTTTGTAAAGGTTTAAGTTTTTGCAGTTGTGGGGTTAGTATAAAGTACCCAGAGCCAACAAGCCAACACTTATCAATCAGTTCATGATGTATGATGAACATTTGTAAAGTAATGGAGTGCTCTAAATAAAATACATTCTTTAAGCTTTAAACGACTAAAGACAACGTATGTCGTCGCAGATAGTAAAGGCNGAAGACAGTAATGAAAACTCTTTGTCTTACTATTGCTTCTCTCAATATCTCAGCCACTTTAAAGGAACATTAGAAAATTAAACTTGCGAGATGCCAACTAAAACATTATGAACTGAATCCTGTACAAACGTAAGATGACGTTAATCCCGTGAAGATTGAAATTCAGCTAAATATAATGTTTAAAAAATTCAGTTCTACCTCACAGAAAACGCATTCTGTCATCATTACAAAAAGCAATTAATGCAGTTAAGAGAAATAATCACTCCTTATTACGAGAATCACATACAACACTAGCTCAGCATACATATAATCTCCAATGTGCCTGAATGGTTAATTAATGGATATCTAGATTACATACAATGTGATATGGTGTTCTTTTATGGAAATGTGCAATTCTTTATTTTAAGACACTTGAAAGAACCAAAAGTATGAGTAATGGGACAAGTATTGTTTTTTGACATTATCCATCGTCTTGTCTATTATCTAAAAACCATCCTGTTTCTTTTTGAAGAAACATAGGGACTAGCACTATCTATTGGACCCAACTGAGTAGGTTTTACCTGAGAACGGGGACAGAATCCGGGCCCCACAACATTTTGTTTTCAAAAAGAAACAGGACAGGTTTTAGCAAATAGATAAGATGATGGATAATGTCCAAAAACATAGTACTTATAGCAATATACCATCGTAAAAAACTTTTAGATCTTACATGAATAAGGAGAATTCATTACTGTATCATCTTTTGACAACGAAGTAGGCCCAGGAATAGGGACAGGTAAGGCAGACAGATGCCTAGGGTGCAATATGCAAGGGTGCTAAACAAGAGACACTTCTAGATATTGTTTTTACAATGCACATATTATTAATGCCCTGGCATGCAGGTACTAATCTTGGGCTCAAAGCCTCAAGTGGACAGTAACACACATTCAAGGGAACTCAGAGAAGGAAAACAGGCTGTATCAAGAAACCTCTTGATCTGCAACACAAATGAGGTGACCCACATGCTTCTGTAAGCTATATTTTGTGTGTGAAAACAAAATCATAACTGCAGCATTCAGCTGAGTATAATGACTCCAGATCATGAATCTGGCAGTGAATCCAGTCTATTTCTTTCATTAAAGAAACAAATTATTTATAATTTTCATCAACATAAGTGTTTATGTGCATTCTTCCTTTCACTTTCCAGCACAACCATCAGTGGGTGCCATTGTTAATAAAACCAATTAACAATCCGAACCATGTCTCAGTCGCCTAAACACGTTACACTTCTGACACCAGTGTAACATGTTTAGGTGACTGAGATATGGTTTGATCATTTCATGGATGCTGTGGAAGTCCCAGTCATCCAGGATGGCTTACAGAAAGATTCTGAACTCTTTAGAACCCAAGCGGAACAAGCTGCTGTAGGACAGTAGTTTGAAGGCAAATGCATCTCAGAATTTCATGATACTGCTGGATTGCCAATATGGCTCCCATTGTGGAACTTATGAATTAATCAAGTGTATATGTAAGAATCCACAAAAACATGCAACATACTTCATTTTTAACATATTTAGCTTATCATGGACACAAAGGTCCCTTTTGTAAGTCGTATATTATTGCATGTTTACAAAGTAGACCGATAATTCTTGCAAAACTTATAGCACCAGCACAAAAGATTTCCAAACACTGTTACCTTCCAAAAAGATGCCGCTTTCAGCATTCAGATTATATATCAAATTCTTCATGATAACACTCCCGAAGATTAGCCAGATGATCAAGGCATTCTCGATATTCATCCTCCTCCAGTCCAGAATTGCAAAAGTTGTGGAAGCGTTTTAATTTAAGTTTCCTAACATCTGAATGCAGTGCCTCCAACATTTCACCCGCACTGCGGCAACTGTGAATTCCTGCAATTGCTGGCACTGAGTACACACCTGTTCAATCAAAAATTAAGTAATTAAATGAGTCTTCAAAAACTAAGTGAAGAATAAACAAGTGTCAAAAAGTCCAAAACTAAGTAAACTGACACTTCTTAGCTCGGAGCATAAGGCATTGGACAGCTGCAGACGAAGAACCCAATGATTGAATTGGACTATGACACCAAGAAGAATAATAAATTACCACTCTCACTTCCTGCCACCTCTCTGCAACATCGTCAAAGTATTAAAATTCACAGCAGTACAACACACGCACTCACAGGAGCAAGATACAACACAGAGCACAAGACAAACATGACTGTAGGAAGAGTGCTCCCATAGAGGAGGATTGGTGTGTATTTGAGATATGAGGTATGGTTGACGAATCCTGAAAGGTTTTAATATTTAGAATTTATTGTTATACATGATGAATACACATTTTAGTCATTTTAGAATGAAGACATCATGGCATGCAGTGCAGTAGTTTGACGTGCATAGAGACACATCTGAAGAGCGCACATTAGTGCTCAAACATGTAGTGTAAAAGTGAAGAGAAAGGCGAAATTAAATAAAAAGTATGCACTGTAAGACGGTTAGCATAAATACACATCATGGGCATTAAAATTCACACTTCAAAAGCATTTGTCTCTTCCTATTATTTGAACACTATATGTTTCAGCCCACCTGGCGATCATCAGGTGTACATGTAAGATTTGAGGCTTTCACGGCGGTGACTATGAAGAAAGCAGTCTTCTGGGATTTAACACCACATATACACGGTGCCAAATCCCAGAAGACTGCTTTCTTCATCAGGTGTACAAGTTGAAGTTGTAGAGGAAACTACTGTTTCATTGTCATGCTGCTACAATTTGCATTTCAAATGTGTAAAGTACCTATAAAATGCAGAATGCAACAAAAATATAATACAGCATAATAAAACATCAACCATGAACAGACAAATACAACAAGTGGCATCTACTAAATGAAATGCCTCCACTGCCCAATAAAATAGAAAAGTCAAACAGGCAGAACATTCCACATTAGATAGAAGAACATCTACAAGGAATCACAGACAGTAATAGTAATTTGGGATTCTCAGGCCACATATTAAACATGGGACATACAAAAGGGACCAAAACAGGCAATGGACATTATAGGAACACAGAAAAGAAACACATTAGAAAAATACCACATATACAAACTGTTCATTCATCAGTAATCTGTCAGACGACAGGTCCACAGTCTCTTCCAAAACAGTTCCTCAACTTAATGTGATCTAGAGCTTTCTCCTTCAAATCAGAAAAAAAAAAAAACTTAAACGTGAATGACATAAACATTGATACAGACAACACCATATTGAGAACACATCAGCAAATGAACATCAGTTAGCTACACACATACCCTACCTCCTATATAAAAACAGAACTACACAAAACATCCAGAACAGCTACACACAGCACCAAAAAAAACCAAAACACTAACAAAATGTAAGTAACGTTACAACTACAGTGACATAATAACAGTATGTAACATAAAATATTCACTTCATAAAAAAACACTAATATAACCTATTTTTATACATTACAGATACACCAGAACTACAACACACACATATCTCCAAATAATCATGCTATGATATTTTAGAAATAATTTTAAAATATTTTGTAAGCATTTTACACCTTTAAAAGGCAAACTGTAGCAGCGTGATAACGGGTCAGCAGTTTCCTCTACAACTTCAACTTGTACACCTCATAATGGCCAGCTGGGCTTAAACACACAGTGTTTCAATGATGGGAAGAGACAAATGCTTCTGAAGTATGAATTTTAATACATCAACAGTGTTGCACAGGGACAGCAAAAAGTGCAAGTGCTAATTTAAAGTACAGAGTGCAACAGGATGCTGCAGTGTCTTATTATGAATAATAAAGTCCTGTACTCCTTTAGAAGCCCCTACACAAATGAATCTAAAAACTGTAATGTCAAAAACTCTGGCTGCCTACATTTCATTAGCATGGGGATCTGATAAGAGTAATTAATATAAAGGTGGGTCAACATTAGACTTTATTCTTCTCCTGAAGACATGGGCAGCATAAAACTGAAACTCCTTTATGGACAGCTGATGGCAACATTGCACTCACTACCTGGGAGGTTGCCATGAGCCCTGCTCCTGTGCATTAGGGCGAGTAAAAGATGGTTTCATTTGAAAGAGAAAGTGAAACCAGCAGAAATTCTTCTTAGGTGCAATGCACAGTATAAGGAAGATATCCTGTCACACACAAGTGTCTGTTATGATTTGTATAAAAAGTTTTCTGAGGGCCATAAAGAGGTCTCAACCTACCACATGTTCACATTCAGTTAACAGTTGTACCATGCCAAAGAGCTGATTCGGGGAACCAAGTGAAGCAATGCATGATGTTGCACCCAGCAGTGGCAGAGTCTTCGAAGTGTTGATACAATTATCCATGAATTAAACTTCCGTATTCCGTATTGAGGGGGTGGGTTTCCCCATGCACTTAGACCGGTTAGTGGTCCATTGTGCGTCCCATGAATTAAACTTACTGCTTAAGAAAGTGTGTGCCTACTGGGCCCCGAAGTTATTAATGTTCAACCAGAAGATGCAGCATACCGCTCTGTCTCTCTTCCTAGAGTGAAGAGCGACCTGTGATGAAACAGAGGTGCACTACTTCACTCCAGAGTCAAAGCATCCCAGTATGGAGTAGCACAACAAGGGGCCTTTACCACCCAAAAAATTCAAGACACAGCTGTAAACTGGCAAGATCATGCCAACTGTGCTTTGGGGTTCAAAAAGAGTGATTCAATGTCGATTTGCTTTGACACAGGGTAACAACTAATGCATAGTATTATAGCAAATTGCTTCACAATTATGTGCAGCAAGCGATATGGAGAAAAATGCCTGGAAAACTGTCAAATAAGATCAACCTATTGCATGATAACACTTGTCCACATATAAAAAATTTGACAAAGATGACATTTGCAATGATGGGCTGAGAAATCATGAACCACCCTCCTTACAGCCCTGACCTAGTCCTTAGTGACTTCCATTCATTTGAATGCTCACCCGCTAGTTGAAAAAATCATTGCAAATGAATTATTAGAATCTAATACAAATCATTAGAGCTGTTTTGGATAAAATTCCCACTTTGTTTTTGGGGGTCCATTGGAAATGCCCCTATTTTTGGACACAGACTATTCATATTTATCAAGCAGCAACTTTTAAATACTGAATATGAATAAAATCAACTCAACCTTTCAGGTGCTAGCGAGAGACATACATACATACATACATACATACATACGTACACACATACACACACACACACATACGAGCGTTCCATATATAATGCCTCCTTTTTTTTTAATGAAAACTACAACAGATACAGAAAGCATAATAATGCAGTTAAATAGAGCAAGAGTTCAGCTACTTACAGTTATTTTTCCACATAATCACCACTATTCATTATGCACTTTTGCCAGCGATGAACAAGAGTCTGTATGCCGCGCCCGTAAAAGTCTGCACCAGCAGAGGCTAGCCACTTTCTTACAGCTGCAATGACAGCATCGTTGTCTGGAAAATGTTGCCCGTGTAGTCCGTCTTTCATAGGCCTAAAGAGATGGAAGTCTGAAGGTGCTAAATCAGGGCTATAAGGTGGGCAGTTCAGCCAAACTTTGCAAAGTGCGCAGTGGTCGCCAAACTGACATGGGGTCTAGTGTTATCGTGTTGCAAGCAAAAGGTTGTCTGCTTCTCTGGCCTGACTCGGGAAATGCGGGCTTTCAGCTTGGTCAGCATCGTCTTGTAGCGTTCAGAATTGACAGTCTCACCAGGCTCCAAGAAATCCAACAAAATCACACCCTGTCCATTCCAAAAGACCATGCACATCACTTTCCCTGCCAATGGCTGTGTCTTGAACTTCTTTTTTCTTGGGGAATCTGGATGTCGCCACTCCATGGACTGTCTTTTGGATTCCGGCTCGTAGTGACGACACCACATCTCATCTCCGGTGAAGATACTGTCCAAAGATACCCCAAACTGGTGCAACAGGTCCTGACAGACTTCCATTTGATGAGTTTTGTGGTCCTGTGTAAGCATCCGCGGGACCCCACTGGAACAAACTTTGCGATAATCCAGCTTCCCCGACATCGTTTCCAATGCATTACAGCTGATATTAAGCTGTACACACAGTTCCCTGGTCATTATCTGCCGATAGGTATGGATGAGGCGCTGCTCATTGTGAGGAGTGGCAGCTGAGCAGGGACGCCCAGGGTGTGGCTTGTTGTACACTTCACTTTTGCCACTCTTGAAACACACTACCCACCGCCTCACTGTGCTGACATCTACTGTATAATCTCCATACACCTTTAGCAAGCGTCGATGGATGTCAATGGGTGCAATTTGATCAGCAGTGAGTAATTCAATAACACACCTTTGTTTCGTACGCACTTCTATGTCAGACGCCATTTTGGGTTGATTGCTCAGCTGTCACTGTCTGTCACACAACAACCAAACTAACAGTACATTGGCAGGAAGGTTCAACCTTTACTACAACACCACCAACATCCAGCTCAGCTCCATGATTTATTTAAACCGTCTTGCAGTGCATACACTCATCTATCTCCTTCTCTCACTCGCACTACATGTTTCGGCATAAAAATGCCATCTTCAGGTGCTTACTCAATCCATGCCAAACTAGTTTATTGCATGCCTTGTCCTCACATTAAAATAACTAAAATATATATCTATCATATACATTGACAAATGTCAAATGTTAAAAATATTAAAACTGTCCCGGATTCCTCATCTCTATGTCGCATCTCACTACGCCAGTCACGCCCATCCTCCTCTGTTGGAGCATTCCTTCACTATCATGTGTGTGTTGTGCTTTTGTTGTGTCTTGCTCCTGTGACTGCGTGTGTTATACTCCAGCTCAGATGTTACATATTAACACAAAAAAACAGGAGGCATTTTAAATGGAATGCCCTTTGTACATATATATACATACACACAGCATTCCAAAAACTGTTTTCTCACTCATACAGTCAGCCTCTGACATATGATGCCTCATTACAACACAGATGTGGATATACCACAGTTACTACATATTTTACATCACACAAATTTCTATTAAATGTTCTGTTTATGTTATAAGACCATATTGCAACATTCCTTGTTGTAGTACGCAAGTTCGGAGGGTTAAGAAGAGATATGAAGAGATATGTTTCTTGTTTCTCTAACATTGGGGTTACAGCTTTGTTCAAACAGCAACACCAATTTTGGTTGGGACAGGATGAATTACACTGTTCTGATGCTAATCCTTTTATCTGCTCAAATCCTGATGTTTGGAAATCCAGCAGAGGTGCTGGAGAGAGAAATTCCAAAAGCATTGTAAGTATAAAAGCTAGGCCATGCCATAGCTCAAGTGGTTAGTCACTGGCTTCCCTCTGCAGTGGCCAGGGTTCAATCCTGGGTCTGGGGTGGGTTTTCTCCAAGTACTTCGGTTTCCCCTGCCAATCTTCATTCCACTAAATTCTCCATCATCATAATCACTCAGGGCAGGTACAATAGGCCAATGAGTGGCTGCCGTGCCGAGTGGACCCACTTTGACTCCACCCCCTACTAAGTGAATTAAAAAAAAATAAAAGTATACCAACTACTTGTTAAGAAGTGAGTAGTATTACAGTGAAAATTGTGACTAAATAAACCAAGAAACAATAAAAGCTACAGCGATGACAACCAAAATAACAAATTGTACAATCATAAAGAAAATACAAATTATTGTAAGCGTTAAGAACGGCAAATCAAGAGCTAGTTTATCCCACACGTGTGAATTCCAGAATGAACAACACACGACATGAAAACAAATTACATTTATTTGTATATTTCACAGAAGATGACATAAGATCTGCATAGGAAGACCAGATTTTGTGAAAAACTGAATAAACACAAGTGTTTGTACAAGTGGTTGCTATGAAAGTGTGGTTAAACAGTTTGTATAAATGAGGTAATTTTGAAGGCTCATGCAATTCAATTTAACAAACTTCTCACTGATGAAACATTTAAAGCCTCTGAATGGTTGCTCTGGAGATTGAAGGTTCAGCATGGGATATGCCAGTTTCAAACTGGAGTTGAATCTCCATCCCATGCTGATGCAGCAGCCCAAGTCTTTCTTGAAATTCTATGCAAAGTGATCATGAAGATGGCAAGTACAATGATAACAACTGCACAACTGTGACAAAACAGCAATGCACTACAAACTGCTTCCAAACAAATCCTCAAATCTTGTAAGAGCACCAAACAACAGTGGGTATTAAAACTAGCAAAGAGAGAGAAACTTTGCTGCTGCTGAGTGTCAATAATACTGACAATCGCAAACTCTGTGCACTAATAGAAGTCTCCAGAGTTTCAGGCATGTAAACATGCAATCTCTGCCTCTGATGTACAAACACAGTTTCAGTGCTTGGATAACATGATACTTTTGGCCACTGATTTGAAAGTGAGTTTATGCCATCAGTAAGACACCATTTAATTCCAGATACTTGAAGAATAAGTTTCATTACTTCAGGATCACTGTCTGGTCCACCCCTCTGTTGATATACTGGAACTCAAAGATGGAACTATTCGAATTATATTTCTGACAAAGAATAGTACTACACAGATTCAGCCAATGGACCAAGGCATCATTTGAGCCTGCAAAGTCTATCGCAACGAGCTACTTAGTAGAACTGTAAACTCTGAAATGCAAGTTAGAGAATTTCTAAATACATTAATACTAAAGGAAACTATATATGATACTTGTTTTGCCTGGTAGAAAATTACACCACCTACTGCTGCAAACTGCTGGAAGACTGTAGTGGAACATACTGTGTCACAGCAGACAAGACAAATTTAATTCAATTTTCAAAACTACTCATACGTGTAGCAATGTATTAGGTTGTAATTTAAAAGGAAGTGACCTGAGCAGTATGGATTGCACATCATCTTAATGAAGAGGATATCACACATTCTGAGAAAATGGGAAGACAACTAATGGACTTGGAGCCACTGCCTCAGAAAACAACAATGATGACTCCTGTGAAGTAGTGGTACCAAAATTGAGCATAGTGCTAAGAAATATTAATGAAGTGATGACATGTTTAAAACATGAGACTCATAATGAACACCTTCATTTGCTGTACCTGATTAATATTAAGCATTATGTTCTGAAAAGATGCAGTTTCCAGTTCTGACAAACTGTGTTATGCAACTATTTTTGTGATAAGGGATAAATAAATGTAAGTCATTTAGTGGTCTGTGTCAGTACCTTAAATTTAATTATTTTGGTCTTTGGATAAGTTTACATATTATAAGGGATCCCAAAACAAGGTTTGCCTATTTCACATAAAACAAGGATAGCTTATAACATGGGTACTAAAGCTGTCCCCCAAAACCCACATTACATGAAGGGTACACTGTACTGCATTTACTTATTCAGAATGTTCGAAATATGTAGATCAACAAAATTCTGGTGATTCCTTTCATCATCGCAATACTGTTTCATATATTCCATGTATATGAGAAAGTAAAAAATGGAAGACTTTAGAATTTTTTAACAGGTTTGCATTAAAAGGCAACCTTTGCCAAAAAAAAATAATTCCTCTGGACAGCAGAACCAGTTAACTTATACTGTTATTCTATCAAGTTTAATATTTTATTATAAATGTAGCTGTTTCCATAACTTTTCGATTATGAGGTTTTATATTTTTGACAATGCTTTTTCTATAACAACTTCCTGCTAAAAGTTCAATAGGCCTTATGCCAGTAAAGGAATATGGAGAAGGCTTAGCACAGAATGAACAAACCTCATGGAAACATATATGGATGACGACAAAACCAAAGACCTAGTGAGGCTGTGGAAAGAAGTTTCAATGATGGTGAGGATGACCATGCTCAAGACATCCCATTCTCTGCATGCTGCAGTATTCCCCTGTAGCCCAAAGAACCTGTTATTAGTAAAGGTTACTACCACCAATATCTATGTCAAAAGAATGGCTGAATGATAAATGGGAAATAGAGTGAACTCTGCTAAAGACAGAAGCATAACAGCTAAAAGGCATGTGGATAGGGTCAATCCATAGGACTTCTTTCTGTAGCCTTAATATAGTAAAACACATCAAGGGCTTCACAGAGTGAGGGAAAGAGATTGGTTTTGATACTTGCAGTATGACACCTTGGAAAGCTCACTTGATACTTACCAATATTTTGTGGCCTTCTCTCAATTCTGACTGAGCCATCTAGTCCAACAAATTCAGAAAAGAACTGGGGGAATGGAGAAGTGACATTACAAGGCACATTAGCAGAAGTCACATGGGATGCTGTAGCATATGAGCAGCATGAAAAGAACAAACTGAGCATCTCTTGTACAGTGGAACACATGTATGCAGGGTTTGTGTCCTGCTGCATCCTGCCACCTCTCTGTGCCCTAAAGGGGAGAAAACGTTAAATAAAAGAGTCAAAAACTTGTGCATATGCATTTCCCATTTCTCACTGATCCTAATATTCATTTACTGTGAACATGTCTACTGCTGATAACCTAATCACCAATGTATGGTGCAGATATATTTCCTAGTACTTTATTAAATAAGCACTTTACAGAAAATATGTGAACTAAAGTTTAGACTTAAATGTTATGTCCTAAGCCAATTTTTTACATCATGAGTCATTCTGTTAAATTTAATGAAGACAGATTTGAGCTTCAAATAAAAGAGTAGTTACAATGGACTAATATAAACCAAAATGACATTCTGCTGACAGTTTCTAAAGCAGACCTACCTCAAGTACCAAGTTTAATTAGAATTCATTGAGTTTTGGGGATGATATTGACATTCCTGGACAGAAAGATGAACACTGCAATCTAATTATGTAAGAACATGTATGAAGTTCAATATTCAAATTAAGTTATACCCCTTTAAATAAAATCATTCCAACATTTAGCTCCCAATTCTGTATTCACGTATAAATGGCATTAACCTGATAATTGTATATACGAGGGTTGGAACTTTAATAGTGGCAACACTGATGTAGAGACGCCATGCAACAAAACCAAATAATGTTGCTTATACCACACATTAGTTACATACCTACCCTACCTCAGAGCAAATGGACTCTCCCATCCCACATCATGCGCATGCACAGTGACGAGAACAGAGCGTTGTGTTAGCTGGCGGTCTAATGTAGTGTTGTCACGATGTTTTCGAAACAGGAACAACGGAGTTGGATAAAGATTGAATGTGCCAAAGACCGTAGAGCACGACAGTGTCATCAAGGCTTTCAAGAGGCTTCAGGGAATCTGCATTGCCTTACAGCACAATGGCAAGGTAGGTAAAAGCCTTCAACAAGGGAAGCCAAAATGTGGCAGACACGCGTTGGCCAAGTCGTCCTAGTGTCAGTGAAGAAGAAGTGTATGCTCTTTCCGCGTTACTGGAGAGTGATCGACACCATACGATTCGTGAGCTGGCCCGAAAGAGAGGATTAGCGCGTATGACTGTGCTTCACATTCTGAAGGAACGCCTGGGCATGAGAAAAATTTCATCACAATGGGTTCCGCATGATTTGACGGAAATGCAGAAATGGCTATGATATGATGCTGCTCGTAACCACATGGAGCGCTATGAGCACAAAGGAGAGGCTTTCTTACACCGTATAATTACGCTGGATGAGACATGGACCAAATCGTATGAGCCACAAATGAAAGGCCAATCTAACGAATGGCGTCATTATGGGTCACCAAGAAAATCAAAAGTTCATCAGAACTGCAGCAGTGTGAAAGTTATGGTGATTCTCGTGTAGGACTGTGAGGGTGTTACCCTAACGCATACAGTTCCCTGACAGCAGACCATCAATGCGCAGTATTACTGTTCATTTTTGGAACACAACCAGCGATCAACTTTGAGAAAGAAGCAACAACACTTTCTGCAGAACCCACCCATCATTTTGCAGGACAATGCTCGGCCGCATGCAGTGCAAGCTGTGGCTGATTTCTTTGATCGATGGGGCTGGGAAGTGCTGTACCATCCACCATACTTCCCGGACTTAAGCCCTTGTGACTTCAACTTGATTCCTAAGATGAAGGAACCACTTCATGGCATTCACTTCAGAACTGTTCCAGAGACCCTTCAGGCAGTAGACCTCTTCATTTGAACTATCAACACAACAGGCGCTGCTAAAGGTATCCTAAAACTTCCACATCGCTGGCAACAGGTTGTACACAATGCTGGTGACTACACTGAAGAACAGTAAAACTTTGAAACATGCATCTATTTTGTATCAGTTGTAAATAAATAGTTGCTACTATTAAAGTTCTAACCCTTGTAAAACAAACTTTCCCCACCAACTGTATTTCACACTGTGAAAACAGGTGGACAGTTACATTAACCTATGCCACCAATACAGCTGTGCCTTCAGAGAGAAACAACTTTTCAGTTTTAAGCAATCATTAGATTGGTGAAATGTCGCACATTTTTGATAGCTTATGATCCAGTGGCATTTCATTTTCAAGCAAAAAATTTAAAGACCCAGAAACAAGTGTAATGGGCATTTCACTCTAGCAGACAGGTAATTTTATTACGGATTATTATTTGATGCTGTCAGTAACTGGACTACACAACATCAATGGCAGTATATCTGATGAACTGGAAAGGATTTGGAAGTAAGCAGTCATGATCTAATCAATGTACTATCATGGTTTTTGTCTGGAGGGACTGAAGAACACCATGAGATGGTTCAATGAGGATAGCTGGTGTCCTATTTCAGATTTGAACTGAGCATTTCCCAAATATGAGTCTACTGTGTTATTACTACACCAAGCCATCTGTTGAAAAGATCAAGAAAACATTATTTCTGTCTGCAGATCTTCTCATGTCAGGCATAAAATCTTACATAGATTTAAATTATGTTCCAATCTGATGTGTAAATTTAACTAATAAATGGTCTTCTGTTACAGAATGTTCCAATGTGTTCACAGAGATTTTGCATCAGAACCTATCAGGCTATGTTCTGAAGGACAAGCTATGTTTTCTCAGGAAATTTTCTGTGCTAATTTTCTATAACTTTTGGTTTCCACTATGCATGCTACAAGTCCTGTACTTCTCACATTTCTTCATTTCATCATCCTAATACTGTCAGATGATGAGTGTAAATCAGGAATCTACTCATTACATCATTTTATTCTCTATTCTCTCTGGTTCAGCATTCTTGTTCTCTTTGCTTCTTTCAAACTTCTAAGACCCCCCCCCACTGAACTGCAGGGCAGGGACAAGAAGCTGACTACTCACCTCCAACTACTGCCAAGGTCAAGAAAATGAAGATTTATACATCCACTCCCCACACGCTTTCATGGCATAGTGCCTAATTACTTAAGCACAGGGACTTTTTTTTTTCCTTGGCACTACAGCCCCAGTGGGCCTAGGCCTACCTCCATGAACTTCTCTGTTCACTTCGGTTTTTCTAGANACAGGGACAACTTTACCTTACCTTAAGTCACTGAATGCAGATTACCTCCTAAGTCTCAGTTCTGGTACACCACGTAATACGACCGACTGGATCCAAACACGATCATTCTCTAAATTGGAGCTTGGAGAGAGTGTTTGCCAAAGGGGTCCTTCCCACTTCTCCAGTGTGTCCTGTAGGTATGTGTCATATCCCATGGCAAAAGGCAGTCCAAGACTTGCAACTGCTGCTCTACGGCCCAGCCTGCTCAAAGTGTCAGTCATTTCTGACAGTTGAGAATATATTCCAGTCTTCAGGCGATAACGGAGAGTCATTGTATCTAGAGCAGTTGCAAGTATAGCACTGCTGTGATATGCAAAGGATTCCTGGAACAGCCAAAATCAGTTCGGCAAATCCAACCAATCGTTAAATTAAAATATCCTACATGCTGGTAGATGCAGTTCCCCCAGTGCAGCACATATAATGATTTAATGAAAAAATGTGTGGTTTGCATTAATGTAGGAAAGGGTTTAACCTCTCCAGTCTCTATTTCAGGGTTATCACATCATAATATCAAGGCATTTAAAAGCCTCAATGCATGACCTCAGTTTACTATGTTGGCAAATCCCTACTGTTCTTTTCTGCCAATCAACACACTACAAACTGCAAAATAAAGAGGAAACCAAAAACAGTTTTCATTTAATCTTCATCTTATTACAATAAAGTCCCTGTCTATTTGCACTCTACTCCATGACTTTTAGCGCCTTCAAAATGCTTACATACAATAACATATTAGGCTCTTGTATTGGTGAATATTTATTAAATCTTCTGGGAAGGAATGCCCTGTGGTGTGGCAGACAGCAGAAATTTAAAGAAACCAAAGGTCGAAGATGAAGGCAGAATGATCCTTTGCAAAAAGTGATACATAGTTTCTACCAGATGATATGGCATCACACCCCAGAAAATTGTAATTGTAACTTGCATCATGACATTCTCTGCAAAAACAGCAACAAAGCAAAAAAGTAATCTGTGCAAAAGCACTGAACAAATGATTTCACCCCAGAAATTTAATTTAATAACTGGACAAACTAGACACACAGGTCTTGGAAACTGTTAATTGTGTGTGTATATTTTTTCCAATTTATAATTGAAACTGGTCCAAATATAGTATGTGTGCTGCAATAGTTTAAAAACTGACTCTGCCAGTTCATCTTACTACTATTACAACACTTAGGGAAGTGCCAGAATAGTTAATGATGTACTCCACATGTTGACATTCCGTTTCATAAAAATGTAAGTATATGACTATGAAGTAATTTATTAAGTCATTCATTACAATCGTTTTAATTGAGAATTAGATTTTCCTTAGTAACAGATATTTTAATTGGCCAATATAAGGAAAGATGAAGAAACAATTATCCAGTTAAAGAGTTAGTACCCAATGGCCAAACACGTGAATTATCACGAACTTCTTAATTTCAAGCAAAATGAAACATTAATATTTACTGTTATTTTTTAATTGTAATTCAGGTTTAAAGTTGAGCTAATATCACAAAACATTTCAAAACAGAAGCAAATACAGAATCACTGTGCCACACGACCTTAAGGCTAATGCATGTTTATGCATTTGCTCATATGTCATAAGACTATGAGACACAGCAGATCCAAGAGGAGTGGGCAATGTATGAAATATTTCAAAGTACTTCCACAGAATGCCTATATCAACAGGACATCACATTCTTCCAAAAATTGGGAAAACTGTTCACAGAAACATTACACATGCCTTGTACAGTGTATGGTAAATTAACAAACTATATTTTGACACTAGACATTTGAATCACTCACTCATGGACCTGAGCCCTTCTTGAGAAACCGCCGATTGTGCAGCTACTAAGAAATTCCCAGCATTTTTGGGAACCCAAAGTTTCATTGCTGAGTTCAAAAAAGCCCTCCAGTGGTCCCTATCCTTAGCCAGATCAATCCAATCCATACAATCCCAACCTCTCTCTCTTAAGATCCATTGCAATATTGTCACCCACCTACGTCTTGGTTTTCAGATGTCTCCTTCCTTCTGGCTTTCCCACCAATATCCTACATGTATTCCATCTCTCCTCCATATACAATACATGTGCAAGTGCATGCACATACACACAAAAGGTCATCGATTGGATTACATAACACTTTTTAGTGAGTTACTAAATAATGCTTTCTGTATCAAGACTATATAGTGCTGGATGACAGAATGACTAATTATGAAGCAAAAAAAAAACTGGAAGGAAATGGTCGTGTCCTAACAGAGGTACCATTTTGGCATTTGTCCGGAGGGACTGAGGAAAACCATGAAGAACCTCAGCTGGGGTAGCTGACATTCCAGCCGAGATATGAACTTGACACCTCCTAAATATAAATCTAGGGAGTTACCTCTAGATTAACCTGTTCAGTCATATGTCTGATCCTCAGCCCTTCACCAAAGATTTCTGATGTTCTTCTACAAATGACTACCAGCAATAATATGTATTGTAACATTACCAAACAGTTTAACAAGATATGTCATATGTTGCTAGGAAACGACACAGTAAACAAGTTCCTATGTCATCAAACAAGCGAGGCATTGCTAGGCAATGAATTGTTCACATGAAAACAGAGGGGCTGTTGGAGATGGTGTTTTCCAGGTGGTTCAACCCAAAGCTATGTAATGAGGACACCAGTCAGAGTTCAATTGGTAGGGTGCCAAGATGAACTGCTTGATGGCAAACCACCAGTCATAAAACGACTCTTCAGTAGTTAGTTCACAGTTAGTTACAGCCATCAATAGTTGTGAGATGGCAGGGAGCTGGCAATAATATAAGCAGAAGACACTGTTGGGAGCCAGTAACCAAACAATGACCAGCAAAGACAAACCAGACTGAGACTTAGCATGTACAGCAGTGGTTTGTCAAATGTGGAGGTTAGCGATAGCATTATAATTATTTGAAGTTACGAGTATAGGTGTCCAACAAATACAATTACCAATCCAAACCCCATGTCTAGTCACTAAATTGTGACAGTATTCTTCAGTTACTATACGTATAAATATACTAGTATTTACGCATTGTGCTAGTATGTTTGGAAAGAAATACACTGGGGCCATCAATGTTAACTGTGACCACTATGGTGTTGAGTAAAGCTCCTTACAGATTTCCAATTTTATTCTAAGGGTAGTGACTGTGATGAACCAGATGATGTAATGTACTTACATATTGTGTGAACCTCTGGATTGTGTTACCACACAGTGTGGTAGGTGGGTACTGACATTTCAGAGAAGCATGCTGACTGCCTCCATCTATAAAGTAAAGATGGACTACAAGGTGCCTTAACTCAGAGGCCACATTACTACACGTATGAAAACCTCAACTCACTATGTATTGTATTGCCTGTACTGCATCTGTAAAAATACTGTCATGTGTATGAGTGTAACTATAAGCAGGGTTTGGAGATTGGATTTATTGACTACTTTAACACATAACTCATGACTACACTTAATTATAACACCATTGCTGATCTGCACACTTTACAAATCACTACAGCACATGCTAAGTCTTTTCAGTCTGCTGTGTCTTCATCAGTCATTCCCTGGTAACAGTTTCTAACAGTGGAGATTCTTCAGCTTCTGAACTCACTTCATTGCCTGCTGGCTCTCAACTACACTGATTAAGTCTTCTCTTCACAGATTCCCTTACACCTCTCTGAACTCTTGCTCCAGTTGTTCTCCTTATTATATCTCAGCACGGACTGTGCAGAAAACACTGTTCACTGTTGTACTCAAATTGTTTCTGTGGGAACATGTTTGCTTGTGAAGGTGTAACTCAGTAAGGGTCAAGTATATTTGTTTATTAAGAATCTGTTGCCTAGCAGCAAATGTTGTTTCACCTTTTGTTTTGCAGTGATTACCCAGTAAGAGGTCTACATGCTACAATACACACCATCCCCAAGAGTAAGGCTGGAAACATTACTTACATTATAAAGCAGATGTGGGAATTGCCTAGGGGCCCCTGGCTGCCTCCAACCTGAAGATCCCGTACATAGTGGCACAAAGAGAGAACTATGGTCTGCCAGGCTATGGAAACTTAGTGCTAAATTTAACACTCTCACACTGTCCTGTCTTGGTGTTGTATTAATAAAGCTGGATGGTATTGCTGGAAACACCAATCTACTTTTTGTTGAGTATTCATCTTCTAAATATTCCACAGCACTTGTACCAAGACCAGCAAATCCATCAGAGCCATCTACAAGAATATGAAAACCCTGAAAATTCAAACATTTAACATGAGGCACAGAAAATAGGACATGTAGATGTTAGTGACTGCACTTGTTTATGAGACCAGGTTGAGAACATGAATCCATCAGTGTCATACAACATTTGACCATACATAGGGGTGCCATGGTTCAGGTGGTTTGTCACTGGTTTCATGATGCTGTGACCTGGGCTCAATTCCAGTCAGTTCATGTGTGATTTGTGACAAAGTAGCATTGTTATAGGTTTTTTCTGAGTACTACAATCACCCCTCCGAATTCTCAGTCCATGAAATGCTATATTCCCTCACTTTATCATTTGGGGTTGGTATAATTGGCCCCTTCCAGCCTAAAAGCACACCACAAGATTCAGTCTCACCCCACCCTATAAATTAAAAAAAAAAATAAACAGGAAAACATGTTCACTACTCAGGATATTGGATATTTAAAAGGATTTGGACCTCACCACTGCACCAGGTGTGCTATGTATGTCAGGCATCAAAAATTAATTGTTATATATTTGTTGAAGGTTTATTTAGTAATGTTTATCTGTTTTTAAGCTTGTTATCTGACAATAGTGTCAAAAGTTCAGACTGTACAGCGTCAAATGGCAGGATGATTAATGAATGATAAAAAAAGATGTCAAATGACAGTCATGGTTATCTGAAGACACTATCTGGATATCTAGGAAAACCAAGAGGAACCTGTCAAGATGGTGAGCATCCTGACCAAGATTTAAAACTGGAACAAGTCACAAGTGTGACTGCATGAGTCAACTCAACTTGGTGCAGCAACACGTCAAAGAACAGTTGGCATGCTAATCATACATAAAATGGACATACATAAAATGTTTAACCCTATAGGGTTAAACAAGATCCTAAGGCTCAAGCACTGGTGAAAATGACATACAACAGTATGGGTATGTGTTATGCATGGATGACAATAGGATTATAGTGTGTATGTAAAACTAAAAAATGAATAAACAAATATTGGGAAAACCAAGGACTAGATGGAGAGACAAAACGAGATATGCGAAATAAAACGAGAAAAGAGGACAAAGATAATCAGACGCACTAGAAGAATAGATTAGGCTTTAAGGATATCTACCCTGGTGGAAATGTTAATGACATATTTAAACTGTCAGATCCCATTTAATAGCAGGTTCTGCTACGGCTGCCTTGACCTGATTTGGTTACAGGCTGATTATAGTTGTAGTATTTAGAAGTGACAGTCCAGGAAAAGCTGCGCAGTGGATGGGCAGGTCCATTCGTGAACATTGAGGGGTGTTGTGATTAGTCATTCATCTGTCTTCAGTGCGAGCAGACGTCTCAAGTTCAGTTAAAAGCATTCTTCCTTGTACAGTCAAGTTAAAAATTTTGACTCTTGGTGTCATATTTGAGTGTATTATTCTCTATTTACTGTATTAATACTTTATTTTAATGTTTATTTTTATTCGTTGATTTTCTTGTTTATTTATATTTGTACATTTTTCTGTCTCCCTTAACGTGCCACCTACACGAAGTAAATTGAGTGGAAAAGTGTTGCATTCACAATCAAGAGAAATTGTTAGTAATGTATGTAAGTATATGAAAGAGGCTGGGCCAACAATTACAGTGAAGAACATAGGAGTGGAAGTAGCAAAGGCAACAGGTGTATCGGAAAGTAGTGTCAGAAGAATATTACAAGAAACAAAAAATATCGAATCTGGGACTTCCACTTCCTTAAAGAAAATCTACATCTTAGTTCATTTAAATTGCCAAGATTCTGTGTTGCAAGTAAACTATTTAGAACGTATTTTATACACAGTAACCCCTTCATTAATCACAGAGATACTACTTGTTCCTTAAATATTTAAACACTCTGTCATTTTACTGCTAATGTTAACAACCAGGGATGACCACTTTCTTTCATCAGAATATCCCTTCATGTAAAATATTGGAAATATGTGAACTTAATTGTGAATGCCAAACATGAAGTCATATTTCCTTGAAAATTCAACAGTACACTCTGCAGAAATTACAGTCTAATTCAGTCTGCCATGCAGACGAAGGGAGTGAACTGGCAGTGATATAGCCTCAAGAAAGTTCCTAAAACTAATATGAAAGTGCCAGGCAAGATGATGTAATAGTACTGCCTGACATTATAGATGTACAAACATTCACTGATAATGCAAATTCTAAGATTCATCACAAAATGCTTCATTAATTAGAGCCATCCTGGAAGATAAGTGACAGTATCTCCATCATTAAACACACTATCTTTCACCTGCATGTTTTCACACTCCTCCACATACAGTCTGATGCGGTCAATAAAGTCATCTTGAAACTGCTCCATTTTCCAAAGGTTGGCACCATAGTTAAAAACATCAAAGGGATTTGTGCCACTGTTGTTTTCATACTGGTTTATTAATGACACTGTTCGTGGGTGATACCTAGTCTGAAGGTAGTCAGCCCAGACATTGACAACATTGTCCAAATTGTAAACTTTGGGAAGGCTGCCTGGAAAATAGATGTACATTATGAAATATCAATCTTGCATTTTATACTTAATTTAATTCATCCGTGTGTGACCAAGAAACAGAAATCGAAATTTTATGACCATGTTATTGTATAGGATGCATCTTTAGCTTGTTGACCAGTTCCATGGCTCTGTGCTTCATGACAGCCTGTGGGCTGCTTGCTGCAAGGAGCATATGAATTCTGCTGATGAATCAGCATGTCTGATGGCTGATAACGTTTGGAATGAAGGGAAGTTCTTACCTTTGTTCAGAGACCACAGGAGGTGTTAAAAACGCTGTCCTCCTACACATGGACATTCCTCACAACTGCAGACGGGATTTGAAGCTGTTCTACAAGAATATTTGAAATTTCCCTTAGATTATTTTCTTTTAGTTCATCTGCCATTCAAGGGTTACTGCTGTAAACTTTGTCTTTCAAACAGCCTCAAAAGAAAAAATCACAAGAATTAAGATAGGGCGAACATGCTGGCCAAAACCAGTGCTGATAATTCTGTCCCTGAACACATGGGCCAAAGCCTGCATAGACATGGGCAGTTTGGGCAGTAGCTGAGTCTTGTTGAAACCAGGCATAGAGTCTTTCTTCTTCTGTTAGGTCTGGAAAGAACTGCCAAAAAACAGACTCTTATATATCTTTTGTAATTAACTGTTTCATTAAAAAGCATAGGTCCAACAATCTTTCTAGCACTTATAGCACACCAGACACCAACTTTCACTGGATCCAGCATGACTTCATGGGTAAGATGTGGATTCTGTGAACGCCAGTAGTGATTACTTTGCGTATTCATGTACGCAAGTGAAACCATGCTTCATCAGAACAGAATGCTGATTGAGAATCGATCTCACCTCTGATGACAGACTGTAGAAACTAACTGCAAAAATACACCCTGCTAGCTGAATCACACAGCTATGAGGTGTGCATGGATTACTGATGTTTTATATGGTCTAAGCTCCTAAGCTTCAGCAATTGTAGTACCGTTCTTGGACTACACTTTGACACCCCAGTCTCGAGTTAAACGTTTCAGTGATTTTCCAGGTGCATGTTCATGTCTGGCCTCTAGGTCATCTAACTTCTCCTCAGTACACACTTGCCGCTTATGTTTCTGTTTCTTGTCTATTAAGAGTCTTCGTTCCAAACATCAGCCATCAGGCATGCTGATTCACTGGCAACATTCATATGCACCTCGCAGCAAGCAGTTCACCAGCAACCATGAAGCACAGGGCCATGAACTGGTCAACATAAGTAAAAAAAAAAGTAAAGCTATCTGTACCAGGCCATGAAGGCCCATATGGTTGTGAGCCATTGAGAGTCCCACACTATCTAGACAATCGGCTCAAAGATGGCACTAAGGTTGTCAGCCTTACGTGTTGGTCACGCATTACTCCCCAGGAAAATTATTTAATTAATTCCTGGTACTCATTTCTGTTAGAGGCTGAGTAAACCCCAGGGCCTAGTGCGGCTGGAAGGATTAGGTCAACTGAAAAAATCCAATGACCTCATTGGGACTTGAACCCGCGACCTTAGTCAAAAAAACTCTGTATTTAAGCATTCTGTGGTATTAATATATCTTTTGCACACATATATGTCTTAAATGCACCTTACTATCTAGTCACCCTTCTTCCTCACTGCATGTTTCAGCTCTATACAGCCATCATCAGGTGTGGTCTATTTTGCTAAAATCATTGCACTCTATGTCAAAATTATGTATCATGTGTGAACGAGATATTTCCTATTTAAAATAAAATAAACTTGAAATAAATTAATATTTTAATTAATTAATTAATATCTTAATGTTCTGGATTGTAGTTGTCATCTATTCATTTAAGAGTTATTTGCTTGATAGTATTTCTCTTGTTGGATTTATTTGTGCTGCATTCCCTTTGTGGTGTGGGTGTTATCTGTAATCTGCAAATACACTCAACTCTCGATTATTCGGGATAATGGTGGGGTTGGAAATCACGATTAATCGAAAACCTGGTTAAGACAAATTTTATTAAAAGTAGTACTGTAATACTGTACCTTCATAATACTATAGGCTTACCAGTATTTAAATTTATTCAACCTCATTTTTATGTCATCTCATGGCCTATTTAATACTTTTTTACATTACAATGACGTATGAATTAGTTATTTCAATCACAGTGTTCAACAACATCCAACACTTTTTACGAATATTCACACTAAACACTTAAAAAAGTTTAATATTGTCGTTTACTTTTTCGCGGCATTTTCCTTTTTACGAATATCCGTACGAATCCTACGTAATATTAGCTTGTCACTTAATAAACTGTTCTCTTCACTCTCAAGATAGTCTAGTAAGGATTCCAAATGATTAAAAGCAGTACCATGTGATATTTTCTTACTAGAAGCACTGTCCACCTTTACCTCATTCTCACTCCCTTCCCACTCTTCTGGCTGCACCCCCACTGAACTTACGATTTCGTCACTGCTTAACATTTTGAAGCCCGGCTCACACGAGTCAAAGTCAAACCACTCTCTTATATTTTCCCCATTGACTTCTTCACCACCACGAACTTGGTTAGCCAATTTTGTCAATTCTATGGCTATCTCATTTTCACTGAATCCAGTGAATCTATGGATTTCGTCATCATCATTAGTGATGAAAGGCATCAGTTTCTTCCCAACTGATTGATAATTTCAAGTTTCTGTTGAATACTTAACACAACACGCTTACTTTTACACCCTGACATTTTGCTAACGCACTTGAAGATTGATACAAAGAGACTAACTGGGGTGGTGTATCTGTCCTTAAAACTTTCCACAAATCCTTGCATCCTTTCACCCCTACCCTAGAACATTGTGTTAGCATAACGGGACCAAAAAATGCAGAGCTCAGTTCACACTAGTGCGAAAATAGTGTTACAACTCACCATGTGAAGCAAAAGTGAATGAATATTAAACAACATATAAGCCTAAAAAAAAAGCCACGGTTAAGCCGCAAACCGGTTCATTCGCCCCCAAATAATCGAGAGTTGAGTGTATGTTAAGTTATTTACTTTTATTGTTAGTTTATGTTTACAGTCCTTGTGTTATTAGTGCAGTCCATAAGGATGTTGATGTAGTGCTATTATCAGTGGTGATATCTGCAATATGTAAAGGAAGTAGTAATATACATTATTTATTATGTTTTGTGTTTTTACATTAGTTTACTTTTTGTGGAGCATATGTGAGTGAAGCTGATACCACTACACCGACATCCTTACGAATTGCACAAATAACATGCTAAGCACAACTATAAACAACTATTAATACATACAAAACTAACAACAAAGTTATATAACACAACACATTATTTACATATTACAGAATACCAACGTCACAAAGGGAATGCAGCAAGAATAAACCCAACAATGTGAAATACTCCCATGGAAATATCTTTCATATGAATTGATGATGACCACAATGGAAAACATTAAGATGTTAATTCATTTTAATTCTAGGTTAATTCATTTTAATTAAGAAATATAGCGTTCACACGATACATAATTTTGATACTGAGTATAACAATTTTAGCAAGATGGAGAACACCAGATGATGGTCTTATGCAGCTGAAACATGTAGCGAGCAAGAAGGGTAACTAGATATTAAGTTGCATTTAAGACGGAAATATATGTGTACAAAAGATCACCATGTTAACCTGGTGGTCTCAGGGTAAAGGTCCTGCATTCTCATTCAGAGGGTTCTGAGTTTTATGCCAGTGTACATTTTTCTTCTGCTCATAGACTGAAATCTTCACCTCTATTGAAGATACATTTTGAGAATATGAAGAACACCAGAATTCGTTCACTATGATTCAGAGCCCACATAAACACATCAGTGATGGGGGACAATTAAATGGCTCCACTCACCCTGATCTGAGGATATTTAAAACCTTAAAAGCCTAATGTGCAGCTATCAAACAATTTCATCTCTCTCATAAATACTGCTGGATTTCCTTTATAACTTATAAGATTGTTTACTTAACAGATCTGAATGAAATTCAATTTTATTATCTTAGAGGAAAATCTGTACTGCAGTGGTGATCACCTTTTAATAGTTCAATTTAGTGTGGCAGTCTTCAAAGCAGTCCAAACACAGTCTAACATCACATTCTTCACACAAACACAATATGTCCCTCCCTTTTCTATGTTCTGTAAACATAGCACATCTCTGACAACCAGATTTCTTCTCAGTTTGTCATATGTTTGTCTTAATGACATTTTATGGTATTTAATAACATTTTCAAGTGTTGAAGTTACACTTTTAGTGAAAATATATATATTTTGGTGTCTTTTATATTATTGTTGCATTATTGACGGTGTACTTGAATAATACAAATGATACCTCACTGCATTAGGATGCTGAAATATAATATGAAGATGCAAAATCTGATGCCCCATTTATTCCATTTGGAATAACGGTATGAAGCAGCAGCTCCAACTGCAGACATACGTGACTGTGCCTTACACATATTTATCACTCATGTGCAAAACTACAAACATTACACTAAAATAATAATTAAAAAACATGAGTCAGTTGTAACATATGGTTTTAATTTTCCATTTGTTATTTGTTTCCATTTTGTTATTAAATTACCATAAGCAGTATTTTAATTCATATAAAAACAGTACTTCAAATAAAAATTCTGAATGTATTAATTTTATACACGTATGTAAGTGTTATGATGATGGAAACTTCTACTGGATTTAGTTTTACACGCCCTTACGGCCAGAACAAATATATGTTTCTTATGAATATTTCTTAAAATATTGCATAATTAATAACACACACATCATATGATATTCTTGAGATAATTCTTACTGACAGAGGATAACCTGATGATAATGATATGTCAAAACATGTAGCCACAACAATGAATTATTAATAATAAAAGTGTTGTCCTTGATAGTAATTTTATACTACTAGGTAACGGAGATACTTCAGTATCGAGACTTCAAATTATACTTACCAAGTGCTTCTGTATTGATCATTGCATTTTCTTCCTTCTCCAAATCATTAAGGAATACATTCTTCTCTTCTTTAGGAGTACATATTAATTCTACTTTCTCAGCAGGCCACTGAATGTCACTGGGTGTTATAGCTTGATTATGATTATACAAGACCCCTTCCTGTCGAAGGTGGCTGATATTGCCCTTTAGGTCAACTAGGAGCAGCCTTGGAGTAAACGTCACATATCCCTGTAACAGAACAGATTCTACTTCCTTACAAAGCACATAAATAAACTAGGCCTCATCAAATTTTCTACAGACCTAGGCACAACTTCCATGAAGTAGGAACCAACAAGGAACTGAAGAAAAAGACAAGAAAAACAATGTACAGTATAATGTCTGCTGTTTACATACATGAGGCTCTGCATTGTAAATTATGCAGATCTGCAAATCACATACAGGAATTTGGAAAATGCTTTTACAGTGTATAATTAGTAAGCAATGTACTATACCAACAACTTCCTCAAAACAAACGAGTTATGTGGAAATATTATCCAGTATAAAAAGGTAAAGCTATCTCTGTAACAGCTTGAAGACCCATGGGGTTGTGAGAAGTCAAGGTTCCCACATTATCTAGACAATCGGCTCACAGATGGCATATCAGTCCTGGATGATGAAGAGACAGACATTCTTTGAAATGGGGTACCTTTATTCCATTTGGATACAGGTTACAGGTGACTTCAATAAATACACATTATCTGCACCAACTTCAAACTCCTGAGGATGTTTGTATACATAACACAATCACAGCTGAGCATTCAGTAATTCTGCTCCAAATTCAGTAGGTCCTGGTTTCGATTCCTGGTCCTGGGGTTTCTGTTACCTTCCTCAGTCCTCCAGACAAATGCTGGGATAATATTTCAAAACACAGCATGACTGACTGAGCAACCCTGTGTAGCAGAGTCCATCTTCAGAAGCCAATAGTCACTCAGGTGGTCAAGAAATTCCATGCCTTTTATGGATCCCAGAACTTCATAACCAAGTTCACAACAGACCACCAGTGGACCCTATCCTAAGCCTGATGAATCCACTCCACACCCTCCCACCTTTTGTATTTAAGATCCATTTTATTATTATCCTCCCTTCTACTCCAAGTTCGTCCAAGAGCTCTTCCTTTCAGCTTTTCTGACCAAAATTTTGTATGCATGTCTCCTCTCCCATTTGTGCTACACTACCCCTCCACCTTATTCTCCTCAATTTGCTTATCCTGACAACATATTCCAAAGAGATCATCATTATGCAATATTATATTAACTCAAATGTTAGAATTATAACCTATATAACCGGCATACCAAAACAAACAAGGAGTGTGGAAAGTGCCTTTTATACTTGTAACAAAGATAATATGTCAACTTCTGATCTACAGATTACAAGATGAACACAATTTTTTATAAGCACTGTTTCTGAACCTTCTTCAGTCCATCCTTTCTTCCACTAATGATCAATCACCATGTAATATTAAAACCATGATGTGACATTTAATGTCATCTGTTCTATAATGGTTAAATTAATTTTAAAACAATAAATTACTTCAGCATAAACTGTATACTTGGTTGTGTTACAATCAACCAAGGCCAAAAAATTCATGGAAGGACCTCTGCCCTCCTCACCGTTATGACAGACCCCATATCTTAAGAGACACAGCTATAGTTCATCTTAGGTTATTACAGTGAGACAATTTTAGAGATTCATGCAAATAATATCATGTTGTCATGGTAATGCTCTGGCCTTGTACTCAGGCGGTATTCAGCTAAAAACTAACCAAAGTAACCCAAAAAATAAGATGTTACCCAAATCATTAAAGCAGTCAAGTTTCCACTTGAGCCAGATGCTCCTCCCATCAAGTCAGGTCATGCAAATTCAGACTCCTAGTGGAACCAACAAACCTAGAGCCTCCACATTTTACAATTTACTCTGATTATGGAAGATGCTGGAAATGTACTCTGTTAATGTCATCCGGAGAATGTTCATGCCCAGCACTGATTTCACTCAATTTATCTTTAATTCTTTCCTACACATCATTCACCAGCTACTGTGAAGCAAACTTGTACGTCTTGTGCTGACTTTTATCCCTAGACCAATGTTTCTTTAACTCTTGCTTCTGTATGGGACCTGTGCACTGTACAGTCATCCATTCAGTTGTGCCATTTAATGTGTAGAAATGCCACAAGTGTTGCACATTCTCCTCAAGAGATCTCTCAAGTCTGTGCACAGTAGACCAGGGATTCAAGTTTAAATACATTTCCCACAAAAAATGTTCAAACACAGATTATGAACATTTTGTGCAAGTGCCAGGAAAGTGCACAAACAATACACAGCACTTCTAAAATCTACTGCAATATGCATAGGTTTTATGGGTAATGCGTTAGGTTTCAGGTTTGTTGCTTACACTAGCAGCCGGACTCTCCAACGCATGACTTATGGAAGAAGAATCACCTCTTCCACTAGAGTGGTTCAACAATTTGCAGGGGGCTTTAAAATGACCTCACTGTATTTCCCAAAAAAACATAAAGTTGAACTTGCCTCTGATGTAACACCTTCCCGAAAGAGTATGTCATGATTAATTTCAGATGGAGTGTCTGCATTGTACACAAACCCAGCCTCCTACAAAATTGGAGAAATAAAAACAGCTATCAGTTCAATGTATGACTCCTGGTGTTCATTTATACAGAGTGATCCATTTTAATCAACAATCTAACAAAAAGTGTTGTATTTTGTATCTCAATGTGCAATCACTGAAGCATACCAGTCCTTTATTATGGAGTTCTGCACTTAATTTCAGTTCCACAGATGACACTTTTTGATTCAGAAGGATGGCATCATGTGTTATGTGGCCAGGACAACAGTGGATATGCTAAAGGAATTCTCTGGAGACAGGTTCATTCTGAAAGAAAACTGTGGCCATCAAAATTCCCAGACATAACACCCTGACTTACACTGTGGGTTTCTCTTAAAGAATGTGTGTATATAAGACAGGGCCATAGTTCAAGCGGTTAGTCACTGGCTTCCCACCGCGGTGGCCATGTTCAATCCCAGATTTGGTCAAGTGGGATTTGTGGTGGACAAAGTGCCGCTGGGGTGGCTTTTCTCCGAGTACTTAGGTTTCCCCAGCTAATCTTCATTCCACCAAATTCTCCGTCATCATAATCACCTGGGGCAGGCTACAATAGGCCAATCAGTGGGTGTTGTGCTGAGTAGACCCAGTTAGACTCCACCCCCCCCCCACTAAACGAAATGTGTACATATAGAAGAAATCCAAGAAGCATACAATAAATGGGAGTAATGAAAATGTCATTTGCAGCAACATGATGGAAACTCTTAACACGTTTCTCGAAACATGGTCAAGTGAAATGATGCACATATTCGGCACAATGAAGGGCACTTTCAATGGATGCTATGACCATTCATTTATGTCTTGGATTTTGGATCATTTCATGTCAAATTAAGACAGGCCAAAACATGACCCCCTCTGAACTGAATGACTTTTGTGAAGCTGTAGTCCCAAATTTCATTGATTTATGACAAATGGAATTTTAACACCAGACATCTAAGATGTCATAGAACTCAATTTCTTGGCACAAAAATTGGCATAACTTCTACTTTGAGAGACAGAGCTCATTTTGTGCACATTTCAAAGCTAACAATATGTCATTGACTTTTTGGGCTTATCCATCATCCTGTTCTTTATTTACACCAATGTTTCAGAGATAGGACTGTCTCTATCCTAAGGTAAAAGCCTCCTCAGTTGGGCCCAATCAACACGGCTAGTTCTCATCTCCACACACTGCAACCAATGAAAGATAGCATATATAAACCAAACACAACAAAAAGCATCAGCAGAAGTTATGACAAATATTACAGAACTCTGGACACATTGCTCTAGCACCTATGGTCATTCGTAATTTAATGACCAGGGTCCATAAAATCAGCATACTATCAAAACAGGACAACACTAAAGTGACAAATTCTAAAAGAAGTGATTATAAACTCAATGATAGCCCATGGCCTATCAACCTATAAGATCAGAGATAAGAAAAAACAGGTATGCAGATGGATACAACATGCATCAAACACTAAAATTCAAGAAAACAAAAATTTCCACATACCAAATACGATCTAACAAACATAATATTAAACCCTGGCCTTAGTTTTACTGCACAAAAGTCTTCGGTTATTGCATGTTGATTTGCTGCCACGAAAACATATTCTGGTTGCTGCAGAAATGTGTTTCAGTTGCCGTAGCCTAGCAGGGCACAGTTGTGCAGGCATCATTTCACAAGCAAGATGCACTTGGGGAAAACCTCTTGAAAGTTCAACTGACATTTTCAGAATTGTTATGAATTTCTGTTTTCACAGTAGTTTCCACTCTTTACAATTTGCTTGTTGGGTAGTTACCCTTACCAAGTTGTTCCCTTCAGTGGCTAACTCACAAATTGATCAAAAACTTTAATTTAAGGATTACATTGCAGTGATTTTGGCAGACTTCTACAGTCTTGGCATTGTCACTTTCACCACCATCTTTGGCATTACATTTTATAGCTTTGATATCTTATGACATCTGTCACAGTGAATATTTAACTGACAAAGTTTTTCAGGCATCCAAGGAAGCACATTTCTGACATTATTGCACCCACTTTCACAAAATGGGTTACAGCAAAAAGGACTGGTGACAAGATGCTGAAATTATAGTAAACACATTTAACCAGCAAAATTTACAATATAAAGTAAATATCTCTTACAGAAACAGAGAAAAACATTTAGAACATGTGAACATATCTCCAAAGAACACTGCCAACCATGTGTGGACCTGCCCTATGTGTACAGCTAATTGAATTCTGTCTCACTAGATGCATTATATAATATGCTTCTAGGCTACTCAGGATAACAGCCTTAAGGAAGGAACAGTGTCACACAATGGCTGCAAAATGTCTCTTGCTAGGCAGTGGTAACCTCAACATCTTTCCATGGCAACATACCACCAAGTGATGACAGAAGACTTTTGGATGCAGTGTCTTCCATGTGGTCCATGCTCGTCATGGCTAGGATGTCATGAGAGTAGAGAGTCAGCCGCCATCCAGCAAGGACATGAGCATAGAAGAAGAGGAATACCAACTTTTGTGAGCTGCTACCTAGCAATGCCTAGCAAAGACACAGAAGCCTTCATGTTTGCTGCAATGATTTATAAACTGTATAGATTAGCAACAGTGTTATAATTAGTTTTAGTTACAAGTTGTAAACATTCAGTAAATCCAATTACCAATCCAAACTCCATGTCTAGTCACAATTATGACAGCAAATAAGCTTGAGTGTTGCTTGTTACAGACCAAGGAATTACCAACACATCCAAAACTTTAAACAAAGTTACTATTGAAGGTGTAAAATGTTTCTATAACAGCAAACAGGGTAATGCCAGGTAAAAAAGATTACAAATCAAATAATATCTCTAGTGTCAAAAACCATGACCAAAAATAAGTGCTGCTGTACATCTGAAAGAGACGTACTCTCATTTTAAAAATTCACACTCAGGAGTAAAAGGGAAGAGCTTGAGCAGCTCAGTTGATATTTGAACTAGGCTATGGTCTAGATCGATGGTTCTCAACCTTCATGAGACCGCGGCCCAGTAAGTTCTTTTTTTTATAAGACGAGGGCCCAGTCCCAACAAATTTACTTGTAAATACCTTTCCAGTTTTGTTAAAGTTCATGCATTAAGCTAACGTAATATCAGTAATTAATTATAGCATAATCATAAAGAGTATTAGTACACTTATGTATATGGTGTGGCATGCTGACAAACATAAAATTACATTTAAATTGGTTATCAATCACTGGACTAATGAAATCTTGTAGCATTTTGTAGTTTCCTCAGACCAACATCATTAAATTAATTTGTGCTAATTTTCTTGGAAGCACCGTTTTCTATGCACTCCATGCCATACCAAAGTAGTGTAGGCAACTGATTCCTCCCAGAACTGTCTCTTCTCTATAATGTCCAGACAGGCTCTGGGGCACAACCAGTCCCCTATATAATGGGTAGAGGTGGCTGTATCCCTGGGGGTAAAATGCCAGTGGAGTAAAGCTGACCACTCACCTCCATCTAGTACCAAGGTCAAGAATGGCGGGGCTATACCTCTACTACCATACATTATCTTCATGGCATTGTACTTAATTAAGTACAGGGTTAACTTTACCTCTTACTATAAGAGTAAAATTAGGCTTTCATTAAGTGTCTGTCTTTGTGTCCCAGAAACTGCATTATGGTAACTGCAAGTGGAACACCTACTGTGCGTGCGAGTGCGCGGGGGTGTGTGTGTCTGTGTGCATGTACAATTCACAAAAATGTGAAGTTGGCATTTGAAACTATCCGACTAACAAGAAGCAGGGAGCAGTACAACGCATGCAGTAACAGGAGCAAAACACAACACAGAACACGATACACAAATGTATGTAGGAAGAATGCTCACATAAAAGAGGATTGGCGTAATTTGCGTGTTTGAGTGCGACGTAGGATGAATCCTGAAAAGTTTTATTATTTAGAATTCATCGACATATATGACGAATACAGATTTTAGTCATTTTAGAATGAAGACATCATGGCATGCAGTACAATAGTTTAACGTGCATAAAGACACCTGAGGATGGCACATTAGTGCTGAAACATGTAGTGTGGAAGTGAAGAGTGGGGTGAAAAAGTGTATACGCTGTAAGACGGTTAGCATAAACCATGGACATGAATCAGCGTAACAGGATGCTAAAATATAACATTGTCAGCAGTTATGTTTATGGTAAACCTCTTTTGCCTCAATAGTGGCCCACAAAGCACAGTCAAGTGGTCATGATTCTGCAACAGTTATCATCAAAAGTTTCTGGCACATTTCAGAGCTAAATACAAAATCACATGTGAAACTAATTAAACATTTTCCAAAAGAAGCATAAACTAAATATGGACATTTTCTTTTTCTCATTGGCTCTACAGTCTCCTTTGGCTCTGGCCTCTGATTTTCAGTTTCATCATAATTTTACAGATGGTAGGATTCCTTGGGTAAGTGATCTGCACGTTACAAAGCCTGCTGGGAATCGTGGACTCAGTGCAATGTGATAATGCACACGTTGCCAGTAACATTCCCCGTGGTGACGTGACAGCGTAGAAGCCACTGCTAGGGTAACAGGCCAGTAAACACTTCCCCCCACCACTGTGACATAACAGAGGATGCTGCTGCTGCTAGGGGCACCCAGAAGCAGTATAAGAAGCCAGTCCAGTGAGAATATGTGTGTGCCAAGACAGAGCAGTGGAAGACAGTGTGCACTGACAGAAGGCAAAGTGTGTTGACAGAAACCAGTGGTTAGCCAGCATGGAGAGCAGGGCAGTTCTACAGTCTAGTGAGAGTTGTTAACATGAAGGGAGCAACTGTGAAACAACTTGTTCAACATTTTGTGTTATAGTCGTGTTGAACTGTAGTTACAGCATTGACTAATAGAGTGACATCACAAGAATACACTCCTCGAGACTTGTTTTGCGACAAGGCCTCTACCTAAACACGGTACAACAAAAAAAAACAGAATAAGCATATACACAAACCAAACACCCACGGCTTGTGTAAGATTCAAACCCACGATCCCAGCTCCCGAGTGAACGAAAACAATACATGCCTTAGACAGATCAGCTACCATGACCGGCAAATATGTACATATAGAAGACATATTTCTAAACTCTAAACACACATAAATAGAGGTTCTCAACAATCCAGTTTTCATGTGGAGCTATGAGCTTCAAAAATGAAATACCTACAATTTACTCCCTGAATTACTGCACTGCATATAATGAAAGGACAGAGCATCAGCTACTAAGCCTATGGTTTCAACTCCATCCCTTAAAAGATAGAAGAAACATGTTTCTTTAAGTTGCCTCATCAACAGATGTAAAGCGATTCCTCAAAGTAAAATATTTCACAAAACCCAAGCCCAATGAAGTTCCAACATGATACTAGCTTGCTTGCTTGCTTACTTACTTATGGAGCTGAGCCTTTCTGGTGGAGCCACCAATTCTGCAGCTACTCAAGAATTTTGCAGCATTTTATGGAACCCGAAGGTTCATTACCGTGTTCACAAGAGCCCTCCACTGGTCCCTATCCTGAGCCAGATCAATCCAATCAATACCATCCCATCCTTTCTCTAAGATCCATTTTAATATTGTACACTCACCTACATCTTGGTCTTCCCAGTGGTCTCTTTCCTTCTGGCTTTCCCGCCAATATCTTATACGCATTCCTCGTCTCCCCCATTCGTGCTATATGCCCTGCCCACCTCATCCTGCTTGACTTGATCATTCTAATTATACTTGGAGAAGAGTACAAGTTATGAAGCTCTTCATTATGCAGTTTTCCCCAACCTCCTGTCACTTCATCTCCCTTTGATCTTAATATTCTTCTCAACACCCTGTTCTCAAACACCCTCAGTCTGTGTTCCTCCCTTAATGTCAGAGACCAAGTTTCACACCAATACAGAACAACAGGCAAAATTATAGTTTTGTATATTCTAATTTTTATGTTTTTGGACAGCAGACAAGAAGACAAAAGGTTCTGGACTGAAAGGTAGCAAGCATTACCCGAGTTAAATCTCCTCTTAATTTCCTCCTGAATCAGGTTTCGATCGGTTATCGTTGTTCCCAAATATCTGAACTGTGCCACATTTTCAAAACATCTGTTTCCTATCTTTATATCATGATTTTGCCCTGCATTTTGGTGACGAGACAGCAACACATACTTAGTTTTCTCAGTGTTTATTTCTAGACTTACCTCTTTACTTACATCAATTAAAGTTTGTGTTTTTTTCTTTATGGTATCTACATTATCACCCAGTAGATTCACATTATTGGCATAGGCCAACAGCTGATGTGTCCCATTTAATTTCAGTCCCACATGGTTTCCCTGGACCTTTCTAATGCCATATTCTAAAGCAATGTAGAAAAGGAGCAGCGATAAAGTATCTCCTTGTTTTAGACCATTCTGGATAGGAAATTTATCAGACAAATGTTTACCTACACAGACTTTACTATACATTTCATTTAAACGCTTTTTAATCAGCCTAAATAGTTTCATTGATATCCCAAACTCTATCAGAATATTGTACAATACTTCCCTCCTAAATGAATCATAAGCTTTCTTGAAGCCTATGAATAGCTGATGTACTGTCTCATCGTACTCCCATTTTTTCTCCAATATCTGACAAATAGTTTTAAGCAACTTAAGATTTTAACAGCATATTTGTTGTACATACAACACACCATCTTATATGTAACTAATAAGTGTAACTACACAGTAAATAAACAAGCACACACACACAATACAAGAAACAACAATGACTACCATAAATTTGTGCATAACTTACAACTTTAACAGTAAACCTTCAGTTGCTGTGATATGTTGGGTTTTTGGACTTTATCCATCGTCCTGGTTTTTTTAAGATAACAAATAAAAACACAAATAAAAACAGTGGGGTCCGTTAGAAAGAGCTAGCCTCAATCAGTGATTGAGGCTAGCTCTTTCTAACGGACCCAACTGAATAGGTGTTTTCCTTCACCTGAGGACGGAAACAGATCCAGTTTCCGAAACGTCGTGTTTTTATTTGTTATCTTAAAAACCAGGACGATGGATAAAGTCCAAAAACCCAACATATCAGTGTGTTATACACCATCGTCAGAATCCTATAGTAACTACTTCAGTTGCTGGTTGTATCTTTTATAATAAATTACCTAATACTATAAAACAACTTGAAAATAAAAACCAGTTTATATGGGAACTGAAGAATTTACTCATTAATGGGTGTTACTACTCAACTGAAGACTATATGAATGATAAATTCTTAAATACTGGATAATGATACATGCTTGATGTAAACAATCATTACATGTTTTGTTAGTTTACTAGTAAAGAATTTATTGTATTTTTGCTAATTTTATAATTTATATCATGTGACATGTCCTACATCAATGTAATCTGATCTATAGGATGAATAAACATGAATGAATGTATGAATGCAAAAGATCTGATCTGTAATTGATCTGTTACATTGAAACCCACATTGATGATGCCCAATAATTTCATCTAGCACATGTTTTAAATATCAGTTACAAGCACACAGTACACTTTTTTTTTTCAATTAAAATACCATATTTTCCTAAACATACAGTCAAGAGTTAAATTTGAATTTCCAGAAAATATAACTCTGCTGAATATATTGGTGCAGGAAGTCACTGGAAAGGGTATTTTAACAGCTTTGAAATAAACATAAAAAGAACTCTCTCACCATTAGGGCAGAAGTTAAGACACTTTTTTCCTGGCAACATGTGTGCAAAAGATATAATTTGTTTCCCCCCACCACTCTGTACGTCTGCTCTCAAAATTTTATTGGCATTATAGAAGTAACATTTGGTAGGATTATTCATAATCATTAGGACTATAACCTAACAATGAATCATTCCATTCTGTGGGAGCTGGGTGGGTCATGTCTCTTCTGTGAACTGATATGGACTGAGCCTTTTATGTTCAGTGATATACAAAATAGTGTTTTCTATTTGAGTACCATATGGTCTTATCACGCTTTCAAAGTTAAATATTTATGTTCACATGACTGCACACACACCTCTTAATTACCATTGCAGAACACAAAAAGGCAATACCTGTTTCATTTGTGCTTACTGAACAAAAACACAAACCTCCACAAAATTTGGACTTGATACAAAAATATAAGCATCTAGTACCAGCAAAATTAATTGCTTCAATTTCATATATTTATCTACACAATTACCATCATTCATAATCATCTTATCTCATTTGTTACTTCTTTCTTTGTGTGCTACATAACCCTAGAACATACTCTTACATCTATTAATCTCCAAAGGAACACATTTTTCTCCTGATGAATCACAATATCAAACACAAAGGAACCATATACTGGCACAAAATGCAAAAGTGAGGGGAAAAAGAAAAGAATAAACTTCTCACGGGAATGTTGTGTTGTGAACAATCAAATCCAGGTTCGCCAGAACTCACATTCACACAATGTGGCTGTTTTATCAAAAAGTGAAATTCAAAATCATTCCAAATCAGTGTTTTAATGTATCATTTATCAAAATTCAAACCATACATTCAAGTTAATACAAAAACATTCTGCAACATAACGCTAGTACATATACACCTAAAATTAAAAAATGCTTCAATTAAATATAATTTTGAAATGTTTAGACAAATGTTGTAGATTTGTAACGCATCATGTCGAGATTAGAGCTTCTACTCATCTACAACAAACAAAGAGGACTGTGATAAATATGGCATCCAGCATTCATGTGGAACACGAAATTCATGTAAAACTTTCATACAATGATCAGTTGCAACACCTGAGCCCAGTAGCAGAATATTAGAACGAGTATTAAAGAAAATGGTTGTGAATATTAACGGGATTCAGACGGCTTCGAAACAGGCCTTCAAGATAACGACAATAAACATTCGAATACAACACAAAAATTGTTGGCAGGGTGCAGATTATTGAAGTCTTCTGGCCTAGTTAATGCTTCAATTAATTTTGTCATTTATGGTAGAATTATATGGTTGTGAATAATGAACTGGCAGGGATATGTTAGGAAATGATCGGGATATAGATCATCATTGTTCCGTTTCTAAAACTCTGGTGTACAAACATGCGAATATAAAAAGTGACAGTGCATTTACGTCCGTCAGTCCTTTCCTTCTTCGGCCTGAGGGTTATAAACGAGTAAAATTTGTTACTGAAACCTGTAAATTCCACCAGTGTGCGCCGATGAAATTCGAATAACAACCAAACTGTAGGGAAACGATTTCCCTTCCAGAAGCCATTAGATCACCAAGTCAATGTAATTTCAGTACAGCCGAAGAATAAACCAACTCTTCTAGCCGAAGGTCTTATCAAGTTGTTCACTTGGGTAGACGACATTGATTGTATAAACCATCTACTATGCACACGCCCCACATCATGTTTGTACGCTCGTTACACGAAACACAAAACTTACATTCTTTAAATTACAATAAGAAAAATTAGGAACGTATGAGCAAAAAGAAAATGCTGAGATGATCATGGCCTTTGAGTTGTACCGCTGTGTTCGGAGAAATCCCGACGATCCCCACGTTTCCACGGAACGTAACGCCCCCACTTAGAGAGTCGAAGAGTAAGCAAAGCAAGAACCAGTGTTAAGCAAGCAGCAAGCACTAATACAAAATTTGATTTGAAAGTCTCAGGCGGTCTCAAGATCCTCAAGATGCTCAAGATTACACTCTTCTATGTCACCACGGCATGTACTTAGTTACGAATTCTTCGATGTTCCACAGGAAAGTACTGCTAGTCCCGGATCATTGAATACTGCGAAGATTTTCATAGATCCTGTCTGCATGTTGTAGGTCGAAAAATAATTGAAGCAAGATGCACAGCTTTACATTCCAAAAGGTCGTACTCTTCGTAAGAACCGCTGTGTGAACTTTAGAATAAAATAGTATTTGTACATTTTTTTTAATTTTGTCGCGATCGGCGTCTGATAGTATATCCAGTCCTGCCACGTTGAAGACAAACAGCTCATGGGCAGGGATGAATAAGTATTGCATTGTACACAATGTGCATTAATTTTCTTCAGCATATACGGTCAATGATTTATAACCGCCTACTTATATCGAATTATAGACGGTTTTTATGTTGAAAAAATAAATGTATGTACAAAAAAAGGCCTAGGCAATACCCATCCGACCCTCTATAGCACAGTATTATAAACATATTATTCTGTCATAGGGGTCGCCCTACGTTTTTTGAACATTTCTCTTAACACTAAGAATATGTTATTAATATTTTGTACATATATTTCTTTCTGTTTTTTAAATTAATAATTTTGTTTATGAGGTAACAGGCGCCTTGCACAAGACTTTGACCCTCTAACTTTAAGAGCTCTGTAACTGACATCCGGTATTATTTTTTGCTTTTCTCTACAGTTTACAATCCCAGAAGTTATATTCCTCCGTGTGCAGCCCGTCACCACGTTCCCATTCAGTCGTGGACACAATATTAAATATAATTAAACATGCTTTAAGACTGCACTGACGGTTTATTAACACGAAGTTAAAAAGGGTTCATTTATATCTCCTGGAATCAAAAGTTAAAGTCAAAGTCACATTACAATTGACGGCCAGTCAGTCTATATTGGTGTCGAGCCCCGTCAGCGGCTCTTGACCAGATATTTCTTCTTATGTCCTGTCCTGTCCTGTCTATGTGGGGCGCTCCCTCTGACAAGAGGGCGGGTCTGTCATTTGTCTGCAGAATTAAGTCAAGTGTTACGGTGAGGCCACGCAGAGCGCTACGCTATGTTCGCTACAGCGCGTGGCCACAGAGAAAAAGCTATTGTTTGGTACGAAACTGCTGTCTTGAATGAGATGTTGGCCGATAGTGTGCCGTGGGGGGCAGCGATGATTCCGACTGTTTTTTTGCTTTTGCTGTTACTTTCCTTGTGTAAACGTACAAGGAAGTGGGTGCATGGCGTGAACTTAAGAAGAACAAAGTTTGGTGAAATCCATCGTCTGATAAAGCAGTTACGTGAAGATGAAGTTAAATTTAAAGAATATTTCCGAATGAGTGGGGTTGATGAAAATATTTTAAGTTCTTCACTTATAGACAAAAGAACAATGTTTGTACATGACCTGGTGTATTCAGTTCTCCAGAAATCATGTCCGAGGCATTATCCCGCATGTTCTGGTTCCGATATTCTTCTAACCCTTGGTTCCACAAACTTCCTTATTTCTTCAATTAATTCCTCCAGTGTCATTTTCATCTAAGCGAATACTGCGCTGAATGATACGTAACACGTGTTGTAATCAGAGAAATTACTGAGGCGTGCAGCTGACACCTGGAAGCGAGCCCAGTGCGCATACCCGTCCAGCGCGACGTTTTAAAAATATAGCCGAGAATCAAACACTCTGCGACGCAGCGAATATAGCGTACGTAGCGTACGGAAGTCTGTGTGGCCAGTCACATTGGCAATAAAGGGAGATATTTTTTTGTTTGTATAGCGTACGTCGCGTAAGTAGCGCTCTGTGTGGCCGCACCTTTAGTATGTATAATTATTAACAAGTCACCTGTTATTAACCCAGCGCTGGTGAGGTGGGGTCCCACACACCCCAGACAATCCGTGGACTACATCAACAACACCTTTGGTTTGGTTATAAAACAATGATTTCCGGCTTAGTGTCCTCTCATCTACATTATCATCGTAATGTAATGTGGAAATTGTGATATTTTTTGGCACAAATGAAGCTATGGTGATATTGGGTTGAAGTACAAAAATTGCAAAGAATGGGTGTGGCATTACAGCATCTAAATTGCGATATGTTAGCCCGAATTGTCACAGGGAGTCTTGGGTTCACCATTACCAGCCCAAGACAAAGCGCGGGTCAATGCAGTGGAAACATCCTGTGTCGCCTGCCAATAAGGTGACACCATCATCCAGGAAAGTGATGCTCACAGTTTTCTGGGATCACGAAGGCATACTGCTCACCACATTCCAGCCTCAAGGACAAACTGCAAATGCCAACTACTACTGTAACATCCTCAGGAAACTTCGTAAGGCCATTCAATGGAATCTACCAGGGCTCCTCACCAAAGGCGTGTTGCTCTTGCATGACAACACACGTCCCCATACTGCCAACAAGACAAATGAGATGGGAAGTCCTCAAGCATCCTCCATATAGCCCCTAACTTATTCCAAGCGACTTTCAATTGTTCAGCCCTCTTAAACATCATCTTTTGGCTGAACATTTTCCCAATGATGAAGTTGTGGAGAGGGAAGTCCCGACAGCAGCCCAAACAATTTTATGCTGCTGGTTTTCAGGGGCTTGTGAAATGATGGGACAAGTGCCTCAGTGTACAGGGAGATTATTTTGAGAAATAAAAGCATTTTTCAAATCAGTTCTCTTATTTAAGTTCTATATCCATTTGTAACTTACTTATTTACTTACCCTCATATGTTGATGAAATTTATTTGTGGAAACAAATTGCTGGAGAACCATACAACAGTAGACTGACCACAACACACCTAATGATGGCCCAAGGGACGACACCCAATCAACTCTGAAAACTAAAGGTTTTTTTTTTTTACATATAACATGACTTTGCCACACACAGAGAACGAGGAAGAGTTATTTTGTTTTCAGTCATGAGGGATAGTTTGCCTTTATTGTTTATGTTATAAAATGACATGGTACATTAAATAAAATAACTGAGATGTGTTTCATGTTCTGTGTTACTGCATAATACAACTTCATATTTCACAGTCCATATGATTACTACAGAGGGATGTCTTTGAGACACAGTGTGCAAAGCAACACTACCACATAAATCTACTCACTGAACAATTAAACATAGTATTCACATTTATTAAAATTTTACATTACATTTCCATGTAATTTGAGAATTGTAGTTCGTACGCGGCTCTACAAGTGCTCATACCAGTATGACAACATTTATTGCAGAATTCAATTTGTGTTCCCACAGGCTTGTTTCACTTCCAGCATAGGAAAGAAAAAGGAACACTTTCCTTAACTTCACTCATTCACACACATCTAATCAGAGAATTACATTTGTCTTTCACCGGGATGAAATATAAATGTGCAACATTGTCTCTTATGCACAATTTCCATTTCCTCTCACCAGATGACAGTTACAGCTATCACGACTCTCCATTGCCACTGTCATCTCCATCTTCATAATCTCCATCACCTGAGTCATCATCTTCATCATCTTCGTCATCTAAGTCATAATCATCGTCATAAAAATCTGTCATGTCCACCGAGTGTTCTGGGGGCTTCACCTTAGTTTTGATACAGTAATCTTCCAATGTGAGTGGCACCACAACCCCATCCTTCTCTGCTTCCAGCCTTGCTGCTGAGACCTGTTTCCTGTTAAATGTAATAAAATTAATCGACTAATTTAAGTTTTGTGCAAGCAAGACAGATAACACTTTGGTTCAGAAAACATCACAGGAAAATACACTCAGACGAGTCAAGTTATCTCATTTCAGGCATATCAAAAGAAATAAGTCCATTAATTTGACAGTGATCATCTCAGTATGGTCAATCTCTCACATTACAGCACAACTGGCTGCTAGTCCCATGCATACAGTTACAGCAGTGATTGAGTTGTAACGCCATTTGGAATTGGCCCAATATTTGGAGAAACATGCTGCCTCCACCTTGTTACCTTCTGTTCACCCTTTCATTGGACTACATCTTACTACTGTTTGCCCTTACATTGGGCTCCATTTTATTACCGTTTTTGTTAGCCCTTAGACTGGCTCCAATATTTTTTTGTAATCACTTGCTGTCTCCACTAGTGGCCCAACGCTGACGAGCGCCAATTTCTTATAATCGATCCACTCAGTGAGACTTCAAGCCCCACGTTGGTCATCAATTTACTGTAATTGTCATTTCACCGTTGCTGCGCCAGGTTCTCCTTATACCCATTTTCTTACCACTGTCTGTCGACTTACTTTAACTGTCGTCTCCGGCCGCGGGCTGCTACAAGTGGCGGCGGCTACAGCTGGCTTTACCCTGCTCCACTTATCACCATTTACACACCACTGATCTTTAGGTTAATGAGTTGTAATTTGGACACCAGTAAACTGATACCATTAGTTTACAGATTCATGAAAGGGGTGAAGGATTCAGGAGGAGTTGCTGTGGTGGGTAGCTAATTCTCCAGTAGAGCTAAGATTCTGTTCTCAGGTTGATTGGCAGGGTCTCACTTAGAAAGGGGAGTGGAGAACTCCTGTTATAACACACACACACACGTTGTTACACAAGACACTTTATTCCTATTAGGTTGCTGATGACTGACTTTGAAACACCTGATTATACTTGCTTGTTTAGTTGGATATCACCCTGAATTCAGTCTGAATATCGAACTGTGTTACTGGTTTTCATACATATTTTCGATATGATAAATTCCACTTAACTGGTACTTTAATTTTCCATTTGTAATCACACTTTGGGACACACAGCTTACACTCTGAACACTGTAAGCGTAGTAAGTACACAAATTTTAAGTATTTAATTATAAATTTTGGAGGGATGCAGATTTTGCGTCCGTATGGTTCTTGAATTGGGAAACAACTAATCTATTACAAATTTCGGATTGATGCAGATTTTGCATCCGTATAATTGAGTAGTGAAACAACTAACTAATTTATTACAAATTTCGGAGTGAAGCAGATTTTGCGTCCATATAGTTCTTGAGTCGTGAAACAACTAACTCATTTATTACAAATTTCGGAGTGACGCAGATTGTGCGTCCATATAGTTCTTGAGTCGTGAAACAACTGACTAATTTATTACAAATTTCGGAGTGAAGCAGATTTTGCATCCATATAGATCTTGAGTCGTGAAACAACTAATTTATTACAAATTTCGGAGTGCTGCAGATTTTGCGTCCATATGGTTCTTGAGTCGGGAAACAACTGAATTAGCAGAATGACCTCTTCTCAAAACTCGGAGCCCCCTCGGTCCACAAGTCAACTCCCTAAATTTCGAGGATTGGTCACTTTTGAAAAATAGAAGTACCTCAATTAACTATTCCAATCTGTTTAGGGATTACAGGGAATTTAGGCTCCAAAGACTTAACGTACATCCTGTCACTAGCTTGACAGATGTTAGGCTTGGCTTGGGTTGCGGGAACACCCATCTTTAAGTTACGATGTTCAAAACTGTCACATATTGTATTCTCAAAGGACTCCAACAAGCAAAATTTCATGTAACTTTCTAAGAACCAATGCTGCGGGGGTCCTTCCTGTTTCACTTCGCATCTGCGTTGACCAGTTGTTTTTGTTCTGTCTTTTTCATTCAAGAGTTTGGGCTAAAACTCCTTCCTGAGGGCAAGAAATAGCCTATGGACCTCTTGTCCATTTGCTACATGCTACAAGTAAAACTAATCGAACATGGTAATCAACATGCTACTAAATTAAATCAAGCTGAGGTTGGCAGATTGGTTACAACCTTCAGGGTCAGGAGTAAGAACAGCAACCACCTCCTTCTGCTGGTTTCTTGCTTGTCTTAGTGGTTGACCTTAAAGATGGAGGCAGCAAACATGTTCTTCCAAAATGTTGAGGTTCTCTCTAAACTGCACTGTGTCACAACGCAGAAAACTACACTCTTTAATTGCAACAATAGATTCTGCCACCTTCTGAATATAATTTAAGCTACTAAATATAAGTTTTTGTTAGCAGACAGTGCCGCTTTATTGAAGACATTAATAAAAGAGACACTGTAATATGCAGCACAATTTAAAAAATTGCACTGTGTGCTATACCTCGTTTCATGGTATACTACACATTTAAGAAATACTAACACATTAATGCGTAAGGAACTCTTTTCATATGAACAGCTTATCATTTGATCTGTAGTCAGAGCTACTCAGAGTTCATTGAATGAACCACAAATCTATCAGTCTAGGCTTTATATATGTAAAAATTATGTTAAAATTCCATCAACTTCAGAAGATACAATTTTCTGCATGAAACTGCAACACTGCAAAAACTTGATGTTAGAGTGTCGCCTACACAGGAAATACTTGATCATGAAAGGATCAAAAACAAATCTAGAATGTACCTCATCACCATGTTATAGGGCATAAACGAGGTATAGATTGCCTACCACTATTCCTACACTGTCCTCAATTAACAATGGATACATCCTGGACAAAGCAGATATCTGTTCCACCACTGCAGTAGTTCAGTATTAATGAGATCTGAAGTTCTCACAGTGGTGAATATTAAGATTACTGTCTTCTGGTATGTGAACTATATGAAGTATATGAATGAAGTCTGGTAGATTATTTTATTTATAATGTTGTATTTTAGCATCCTGTTGCACTGATTTTCGTCCATGATATATATACAGTGTCCGTCTTGCAGTGCATCCACTTTTACCTGTCACTTCACAACATGTTTTGGCACCATAGTGCCATCATCAGGTGCTCCATTTACACTAATCTATTGCATTGCATGCCATTATGTCAATGTAAAATTATTTAAAAAGTATTTTAAAATATTCGTCAGTTATAATAAATTTTTTGTATGCTAAAATCTTGTTAAGATATTCGTCTTATCTGTTCCAATTCAAAACCTGCGCATGGTTCCTCCACTATGGGAGTCATTCCTCTTATATGGCGTGTGTATCGTGTCTTGTGATGCGTGTTCCCTTTTTGGCTGCGGGTGTTGTAGGGTGTGGTGGGACTGAGTCCACTGGGTAATGCAGCCACTTCTGGCCTATTGTACCAGCCCCAGATGATAGGTGAGGGTCATTATGGAGCAACTGGAGGAATGAAGATTGGCAGGGGAAACCGAAGTACTCAGAGAAAACCTGCCCCAGCGCCACTTTGTCCACCACAAATCCCACTTGACCAGACCCGGGATTGAACCAGGCCACCATGGTGGGAAGCCAGCGACTGACCACTTGAGCTATGGCGTGGCCTGAGTCTGGTAGACAGTAACAATTTGGAGGAGCCTGTATCCTCCATCTTTATGGCAGAGGAGGCACTCCCCCCAAGATGCACGCACTGGGAACTAATCTAACAAACAATAGGGCACCACATCCAGAAGACTATAATCTTAAAACTCATTCACACTACCTACCGTATTATGTTTTCATACTCTTTATCTTTTCCTTTTGAATCCCTCCAACGTCTGTACATCACTGAGGCATCAACATTCGCAGGACTGAATGTGTTGGGCTCATTTAACAGTGATATCACAGACAACAGAATTGTTCTGAAAACAAAGAAAACAGTTAGTAATATTCAGCTGTAAAATATTTATGAGTGTACTGGTCTTATAGTCAATATGTCAGGAACATATGATCATCAACGTACCTAACATTCTGCGTAGGATTCCACCTTTCACAGGGAAGTTCTCCACTCTGAGGGTCATCAACTGGTGGATGCAGAATCGAAATACACAGATCACCATTCTGTAAAGCAAAGTTACTCTCATCAGACACAGAGGATTAGAGCAAGCAAGCGACAGACACTGTCAATTAGATGTATGCCCTGCGATTACTTTCAGAAGGGACATACAATACAAGAAAGCAAGGTATTGTCTAAAAGCTACTGATCTGCTCCAGAACATCCAGTGCATTAAAAATACAGAAGCAAATTGTTTGAATGTTGGATTTGAAGTTCTGGCAGCAGTGGCTGTCAAGAGTACTATCTTCTGGTACGTAATACCATTTTGAAGGAACATACTGCCTCACCCTTCAGGGTCAAAGAATAAGTGAAGCAAGAAACTAGGAAAGCACAGGTGGCAAACACAGGAATGTAGGGAATTTAAACCTTTAAGGCACAATATTAACTACCAGATTCAACATTAAATAACTCTGTATTTAGCCCAGAGGGCGTATTTTTAATGTTAAATACAATTCTTACAATAACAGCCATTACTTCCACAAACTATGTTAACTGAAATGTCTTTGTAATGGAGATAGTGTGTTTTCTGTGAGGCAAAATGCATTTTTAGTAACATTCACAGGTTTTAAACTGTTACAGGAGTCCGTTTCATAATTAGGCAGGTACATATAAAATGAAGCCCTGTAGGTATGCCTTACAAAACTGGCCATGCCACAACCAGAGGTTCGTAACATAAGCATTATCCAACTGGATATCTATCATATCTATCATAAAGTCACAGAGTGAGATATATAAGTGTAAATCCGAGAATATACAGACAATAGATTTAATTTAAATGTAATGTACTATGAGAGAACATGGGTAAGATGAATATAAGAGTACGTGCATCATGTATTCTGTGCGTATATCGTTGGCTTGTTTGATTTATTGTTTACTTGAATTAAAATATTAAGGTAACATATAGGACATAACTTCTGGCCTATTGTACCAGCTCCAGATGATAGGTGAGGGTGACTGTGGAGCAATTGGTGGAATGAAGATTGGCAGGGAAACCGAAGTACTCGAAGAAAACCTGCTCCAGCGACACTTTGTCCACCACAAATCCCACTTGACCAGACCCGGGACCGAACCCGGGCTGCCGGGATGGGAAGCCAGCGACTAACCGCTTGAGCTATGGCGCAGCCCAAGATGCCAGGTTAATGCAAGCCAGTTTGGTTTCTGTGCCTGCCACACCATGACACTTAATGTACGAGGCTTACGTACCACGTTACATTAAATTTCCACAATAACATGTAGATGGCTGCTGTATTCTTGGATCTTGAAAAAGCCTCTGATACAACATGGCACCTTGGCTTGCTATAAATTATCATAATTAAAATTTTCTATAAGTCCAATCAAACTTATTTTCTCTTTTCTTTGTCAAAAGAAATTCAAAGTCTCGTCGAAGGTGCAATGTCTACACGAAGGGATATATGTACAAAGAAGGATGCCACAAGGTTCTGTCCTGTCCCCCACATTGTACAGTATGTATATAAATGACATGCCACAACACCTGGTATTTAGACCTATGTGGAGGCGGGGTTGAATACATCCACCATGACCCTGCGAGTCGTAGGAGGCGACGAAAAGGGAAGTCTCAAATCTGAGACAGTAAAATATGGTCATGAATCCCAAGGGACTCGGACCCAAAAAAGATTGCGCTGGCAAGGCCCAGCACCATATACAAAATACATACCCATCCTATCGTCAGGGAGGGCGCCCCACGAAAACAAGACTGTAACTGTCAAACAGCAATAAATATCTGGTCGTGAGCCACAGATGGGGCTTGACACCAGGACTTACTGACTGACTGACCGTCAGTCGCAATGTGACTTGACCTGGTATTTACTAGGTCTCTTTGGTGATGACACCCGTATAAATGGGACAGACAGAAGGCTGTAGTGAGGTATCAGTGCTATTAAGATGTGGTGTAAGCGCTGGAACATGCTGGACCTCGGGTTACTTTCGACAGTTTCCTTAACTTCCGCTTGTGTTTTAACAGACTCTCCAGACCAGGTCTGTGAGCCTAAGTTAGAGTTACTTTATGACTGATGGTTTACCGCCAATGACCGCCTCTGTGGTCTAGTGGTCAGAGTTCCCGGCTACAGAGCCAGAGGTCCGAGTTCGATTCCCGGCGCTACCAGATTTTCTGAGGAATGTTAGGTCTGGAACGGGGTCCACTCAGCCTGGTGAGGATAACCGAGGAGCTATTTCAAGGAAATAGCGGCTCCGGTCTAGAAAACAGAAATTAACGGCAGTGAGGATTCGTTGCGCTGACCACGCGACACACTCTATCCGCTAAAGTTGGCACTAACTTCGCCGACAAGCGGCAGCAGCTCGGTCGGTAGAGTTCGTTTGCGAACTAAAACCACGGAGTTTGTTTTTTGTTGTTTACCGCCAATCAGTTCGTCTTGGCGCCACATCTCTTGAGACCCACGACCAGTATTCTTTTTTCAACTCAACATCTGAGGCTATATAGTCCTTATTTAACATCCTCTCTGACGAGACAATTCGACCGTCGTTTACAACTGCTACTCACCCTAGTCGGCGCAGTCATCCTTGGTCCGAGTGCCGCGGGGCTCACGAACATATTTTACGGTCTCAGAATCGAGACTCCCAAAACCTGGAAGGCCAAGTCCCCGTATTTTTATCCCTCACGTACAGAGTGGCCCGGCTATAGCCCCAGAGGGCTGTTGCTGAGTATGGACCGCTTGTTTGTCAAGCCGTTACTTAGCAGCGGACCATCTTTCAGTCATAATGTCGCAATATATACCATTTTTATTAGGGGTTAAGTAAAAATGTTTCGAGCGTGAAAGGGTTCCGGAGCCAAATTAAACCGGGAAACACTGGCTCAAAAGTATGGAGATTGTGTCCATTCGTCGAAACATGAAATTATTGCCACACTGGATCTCACTACCAAAAGCGCCTCTTATTGTTCAAAAGACATGGTGTATCGCGTATCACTCAACATTTGTCAATCATACTGGCGCCTTCCTTCGTTGTAAAAATGCAACCGCCAGCCACACCGGATACATTACGACCCGGGTGCTCTTCTCCAAGATCGTTCAATCCACACAATCGCTTTTAAAGGTCTAAACAACGAAGAGTTTTAGAAGGCTGAACTCTCAAACTATAAGGATTAAGGCGATGGTACGCGTACGTGCCACACTTGCGTTGTAACCCGCATCCCAGATGGTGAAACATGCTCGGTCTGAAAGCTACAGATGAGTAGGCCTATGAAACATGCAGTTTCCTTACGTACTGAGAAGTAACACGCTACGTGGCCTTCATGCCGAATCATGTACAGAATTACGATATCTGTACGCCTCCGGAGTAAAATACGCTTGACTTTGTTTCAACCAATCTCCTAGGCTACGGCGGTTTGGAGGTTAGTTGCTTTCTGCGACTGTTCCATTCTAAATACGGTACGAAAACCTTCACTAAATACACTTCATGGAGACGCACTGACGTTCTGCTTTCAAAACCGTTATTTATAACACAAACGCGTAGATGATGCGCGACAGTTGCGTCCCAAGGAAAGGGTATTTTTACTTCCCAAACGAAGTGCCAAATTAAAGCAGATCTGTGGTAATTGATTCTAAAAACAATGAAGCGTCTGAAGTACAACACCACATAGTAAGAAGGCCTATTCCAGCTGCATTCTTCCATGCAAATGAAATATAAAAATAGCAGCACCAGTAGTAGTACTGGTGGTGGTGGTGGTGGTAGTAGTAGCAGCAGAAGCACCATCAGCAGTAGCGGTAATAGGCTTAATACGGCTTAGGGATCCTTGCCATTTCTGCTAGTCTTTACGCCACCCCATTCAGTTCTTCTCGTAGTCATGACCTCTAGCAGCCCTTCTTTGGTCTTCTTTCCATTCGAATTAATTCCCTATCTTCTTCTCTTCCATTATTGTTTCTTAACCACCCACTATTCTTTCATTAATTATGCATTTTCTCTATTCTTGATAATGTTGCTCTTCTCAACCTGCTTCGAGCTTCAGTTATCTTCTACTGATGTGACCATTTGAATAATAGTACTATTCATTTACTTGCATTCCTGTTCCTGAAACGTACGTGTGTCAAAATCTCTACCCTGAATGTGGAGACCTGGTTCCTCCGAAACGTTGGCACCTATTCACCAAACCAGAAGGCTTCGCATCTGACACGACAGTAACCTTAAAATGTTGACTGTCCAGTCTTAATTATAATAATAAAGTATTAGAATAAAATTCGTTTAATGGTACAAAGCTGTAACTGGTAACACTGCATTAGCAACTTCAGACGTAGTCAGCCTCAGCGGTCATTAGGAATACATGTATCTCTATGGGTTTCAGCTAGTCACGAGTTTTCAGTAGCCGTACCATACGAATGTGAGTTTCAAATTGAAGTTCCACATCCATAATGTATACCTGGTCGATTTCAGACCAAAGTGAGGTTCATAACGGACAGACTGATAAACTCCACGAAGCCCAGTTTTTCTTGAACACCTAACAGTCGCTTAGTTGATCAAGACCTGAAATTCTAAAGTCCGTCACCGTGTTCACAAGATACCGTTACTGGATTCAATCCTGTGCAAGATGCATACTCTCACACTGTATTTCTTTTTCGGCTTTAAGTTTTAATGTAAATGTCAGTCTATCGGGTAGTTCTGCAGAAGGTAGAATAAGATTAGGCTTCATCCAAGTTTATCTAGCACGCACTACGTCATGAACCCGTGGACCGCGAATCAACTGAACCCAACAAGCGTGCAGGTCGATGAGCGCATTGTGCACCGCGCAAGCTAAGGGCAGTGTCATCTCCGGTTTATTTTCGGTAACACAAACGTCACAGCTATATTCTGCGTCGCTTATTCTGAAACTGCAATTCCGCTCGTCATTCTGCGAATTCGCTTTAAAACTGCGGCTACTCAGAAAATGAGTCTAGCCACCGACTTTCACACGCATCATATCGATGAATTTGTAACTGATGCTCCATTCCAAACCCAGCAACATTTTCAGAACCCGAACACATGCATGTGTGTGTCG